TCTGTAGTGTACGGAGTAGTCACAGCCCCTTTGGTCCTAGGTAGCTCAATATGGGAGAAAATCTGCTGCACTTGGTCCGTTCAACCGTTGTCCTCATGGTCGAATAGCAATCTGCCGACCGGTCATCCGGGACAGTCTGCGTTAGGTAGTCTGCTTGCCACGGAGGGATCGACGTGATCTCGTACACTCAAGAAGCCAGAATATCAAAGCTGTCGCCGATCTAGCTAGCTGCATGGGTCAGTATCCGTACTCCATAGTCAATGGCGCACTACGGATTCGGACGCGACCCCACCGGCTTACTCATCTCTCTTCGGCTTGATCCGGTTGAAAGCACCGGGTCCTAGTGGTGGGGGCGGCAGTTGCCAGGCACCACGAGCTCCGAGTTTGCCGTCACAGACCCCGGCATCCCTACCTAGGAACAGTGGAGGTATGCTCATAGGCGGATTGGTTCACCAGTGACAGCGGTCAGTCTCCAGGCCTCCGGATAGCATCTTTCCATGATGCAAGGCAACCCTCAGCACATTCCGACTTCCCCGGGAGAGCTGCTACACTATGCTGGAAGGCATGTTCCCCCATTGGATTAAAGGTACGCCGGCGCCGCTCGAGGGCCTAGTTCTCCTTGTCCATGAGCGCGTCTTGACCCCCGCTGCTGACCAACGCGTCTCCATTGGTAGGCAGGGATCGTGGCCTCATTGTAGTGGCCGGAGCGTGATCTGATTGTAGTCTAGAGGCTTTGAGACTCGGTGTGGGTCGTGATCACCCGTGCTAATCAAGTCGCTCTTGGCGATTGTGGGATATCTGACGCAGTCGGCTAATTTCGAGGCCGGGTACGGATTTGGGTACCGGGATCGCGACGCCTTTTAAATCTTGGTAGAGGTGTTAGGAACCTGCAATCTGCGCGAGGCAACTCGGGAGATGGCCGCGTTGGGCGTCGGCTCTCGAGTTGGTCTAGATATGAAGTCGCCACCAGAAGTGCGCGATGCATTAACCAGGCTGCAGATGCTTCAGGTTTGTCAATGCCGGGTCGCATACCCGGGCTTCGTGGTTCTCTGGACGTGACTTAACTTCCTGATAGAGTCTGACGAGGAGCAAGAGGCCGATTTGGGCGAGTTTTCGAGCTAGGTGGGTGCAGGCAGCGAACGATTCATCACATTTACCAATCAGAGTGGTGTTTAGTAGACTTGGCAAAGTTGCTCTGTGTGCATTCCGCAGCTCAAAAGTGCGGGAGCCTTTCGACACGTCATAACTATGGATCGTGGTGTTATTCATTGCCCGCATGCCGCATTGATGTCGGGTGAGCTCCAAAGTTCTCTTGCGGATATCCACCTAGCTAGGTTGGAGAGGGCTGTCTGGTCGGGATATAATCCCTTCTTTCCCCGCTTCGCTTCAGGAGTGTATCCACCAAGAAGAAGAAAAGAAAGGAAGAAAAAATAGACATGAAGGAAGTGGCGACTTTGGTAAAGTGCCTACCTTGATAGGTTTTGATGCCCTTAGGCAGGGGCCGGAGTAAGTTACCTAACCAGATAAGTCAACAACGGAAGGAGCAGGCGGCAGAGCTTGCCAGGCGCGTCAGGTGGAGTCGAGCAGGCTCCCCGAGGACGGAAAGGGGCATGGCTCGGGCTCGGGCTCCACGGAAAAAGCAAGCACCGTCGGAGCCGAAGTCTGGCAGTCGAGATTGGCAGGAACATGGGCAAAAAGAAGCATAACACATCTATCTACCTGCCTAAGGTAAGTAGGTACGTTCCGGACTTGCAACCGTACCCTCAAGTCTCGCTTCCCACCCCGTACGCTCTGAAGAACAACATCAAGGGCCTTACGTCCTAGCGGCCTTGCCCGATGGACGGGAAAGAGTACCATATTCAGCTTCTTCCCTCGGATGTGTGCCTTCGCCGTTCATCTGGCCTCGTTGCTCGTGGATCAACACACTCCAGCCACCTAGGTACCACAGCGAGGGCCTCAACCATACACGTAGGTATCGCAGACTTGATACGAGTTTCCAGCATTGGTGGCACATGCTCCGAAGCCCCGAGAGAGCCTGCAAATCCTGCTGTAGGTCGTGTTCTCTGTGTGTGTACAGTAGCGTAGCAGCCCCCCCTCCCTGGTGCATTCATGGCTGTCGGGGCACGATACCAGAGCAGATCTTTTATTCGCATGAATAACGGAGAGCCAGTTGTCTTCTTCTCCTGGCCTGTCAGTTATCTTCATTGGCGAATCGCGCCATACGACGGTAGAACACGGTGGTATCTGGACGAATACCTGCAGGGTGTTTGGATGGCAAACACTTCCACACGCATAATGAGACAGCCCAAACAGCCGAAAATGTATCGAGGCCTTGTCTTGAGCCAGTGGGATTTTCAACGCATCATCCGATGCAGTGGAGCTACCGCCTCAAAGGAGATTACTTTGTGCTATCCCTCCTTGCCTCTCTCTATCCCTCCTTCCCTCTTAACCTTGCACCCGCTTCCAGGTTGGAGAGCCATTATCGGGACGAAAAGAGCCATGAGGCACTGTCCAGAAGTGCTTTCAGAGGTTTGGCATTGGCCCGAGGGAGTGGGAGTCGTCTTTACTCTTTCGTCTGCCCACGTTGACCCACGATAGCTCGAGGACGAGCCGCCGTGGACAGTAGACGGCTGACTTCGGTAGGCGAGACCCCGAAATACAGTGATTGAGGCGGATTAATCCATCTACAGAGGAACAAAGGCTGACAAGAATCTTTCATGCCCACCATTTTCACTCACCTGTCTCGGCCGAGACCAGGTACAACTTCTTTTCCAAGATTGCTGGAATATCTTCAGGAAACCCTATCGGGGAGAGCGGCTCATATCTCCTGAGAAACATGGCACTCCAAGACCAACCAATTGGCTCAGGGTTTCTCCTTCCTATAACGACCGACCGAGTTAGCGGGCGAACCGAGGACCATGCGCAGGCCATCCCCTCGTGCCAACGCCAGTAAATACACACCCCCAACTCAAAGACCACAAAACGAAGGAATAAGAAAAAAATCTTAAGAATGCACCGGCCGCTTCTACACTGGTATACTGGGTGTGCGGGCGTCCGAACGGGGCCGTTGGTCGCGCGGAGCTTGTGCGGGCACACGGAGCAACTGGCGGTTCCACAGCCTGCCCGTGTTGGCGGGGTCATAGTATGGTGACTTCTCACGCCGGCCGAGGCAAACAATGAGGTCGAGTCAAGAATCGACGCCACGAAACAAAATCTTGCATTAATTTGGTCATCCTCGTCTACCTTGACTACAGAGACCGTCCTGCCCGCCGGCCTCCGTTGGTTCGGCGCCGTTGTTGCCCCAGAGCGGGACTACAAAGACCCGAACCGGGGCGCCGGCCCCACAAGGCTCTCCCTGTGCGTCGGGAGGGCCCGGACGCTGGACGACACGAACCGTCCAATGGACGACACGTCTTATGAAACCAGAGCCAACAGCGCCCTGAGCGCCCTGCCTATCTACACTATGCAGCGGTGACGCATGACGGCCGGGCCTCTTCGCCGCTTGTGAAAGGGGGGGTGGGAGTGAGAGGGGGCGTCGAAGAACCACTTACCCCGGATTATCACTCTAAGCGGCTCCCTCCCGCTGCGCAACTGGTGCAGCCGAATCCAACCCCCATAAGAAGCGGGAAGGAGGAGATAAGGACATCGGGCGACGTGACCCCCCCTTTCCCCAAAGTCGATAACCGGGCTTCCCCGTCCGCCAGACCATAAAACGTCCCTGTTAGTCATCCGTGTCAACAGCTACCGTCTCCATCATAATATCGGCATCAGCAACAGCCGTCCGCGACACCTAGTGAACTCTGAACACAGATCCCGTCGCTGAGTCACACGTCATGAGTTACAGCAGTAAGTGTGCTTCTACGATTGCCTCGTGAGGGGAGGACTGATCATACATGGCCTTACCAGCGCATAGTACATACAGTAAGGCAGGAAGGGCCAGTTCCCGATCGTAACCCCCCCCCCCCCCCCACAAGCCGCGAGAGATCAGGCTTTATTTCTTGTAAAAAGAAATTTTTTTTTAATTTTGTGACAAGACGACGGAAGAATGGAACATTTAGAGCCCGTCCACCCGTCCGCCTCCACCTCCTCCGTCAGAAAACCTACGTGCCCATATCTCGCTCGCTCCGATCCACCAGAAGCAGCCAGTGCGTCGGCGTGGACCCTCATGGAAACCACCCGCAGCGTTTCCGGCACGCACGCGGGCAGACAGGCAGAAAGGGAGGGAGTGGGGGTCGGCGGACAGACTCTCACTTTGTTTGCTCTTGACTTTCACATTACTCATTGCATCGCCTTTAAAACCGCGCCGAAACCACGCAGATACCACACGAGTCCAGCCGACTAGAGGCTTCGAGTTAGCCACGCCGACCAGGACAGAAAGCATCGTGTTGAGGTTTCTCGCTTCCCTCAGGTTTTGACTTTTGTCCCAATGCAAGGCACCCGTCAATCGATGGGGATAATGGGACGGGGAGAGAGGGGGGGCGGAAAATACTGATGTCTTGGATCGGCGTTCCGGTCGACCAAACACGTCAAGATCATGGTTGCCCATTCGCATGCTGGCTCGAACCTTGAGCTAAATCTACACCCACAAGGTACATCCGCAAGGGTTGCGCTATCCGAGACTACGGCTTTCACGGTCGGGCCGAGCCAATGTCCATGTGCATGTGCAGTGGTGACAGATGAGTGGATTTTTCCCTTTCCCAAGGAGGAAAAGTTCTGTACTTCTTGGACTACCCTATATGTCGTCCTGGTATCATCACATACTTTGGTCAAAGGCGGGGGTTGAAATATGTACAGGTGTAACTATAGTCCCGTCTGCCATACTCGTTGTTGAACGCAGCCCTCTGCTCATTGGAAGACCTCTTGTGCCCACAAAACAGGCTCTTGCTGTCTAATCGATAACTCAAAATAACGCCATTTGCCATGGGTGTCTTCGCGTTTTTTATTTCGTGCCGGAAGTGGTCGAAAGGGAGAAAAGAAAAAGAAAAAAAGGCAGGCACTGCTCAGAGCACGAAGACGACGGCGGCGAAGCCCGCGAGCATCAGAGAGATTGATGCGCCGCTTGTGTAAGCCGCACCGGGGAAGGGCACAGGCGTCGGCGAGGCAGTAGCAACGGGGGGGCAGCCTGTAGGACCGGGGGTCGTGGAGGTGCAATTGTCGTGCGTGTCGGGCTTGGTGACGAGCTTGAAGTTGGCGCAGCTGATGCGTGTCTTGTTGGCGAAGTGGAAGACGAAGCTGCGGTTGCCGAAGAAGGAGCCGGGGCCCTCGGCGATGGAGACGAAGGAGTCGATGTAGGTCTTCTCGTAGTCGGCGGTGACGGCACCGTGCTTGCCGCTCAAGTCGCCGACCTGGCACGTCTCGGGCTTGGAGGCGTCGCAGGGCGTGACCTCGCCGCGGATGAAGGGATCTTGGTGGGCGAGGGTCTTGGTGCAGTTTCCGTCGGCGGGGACAGGGTCAACGTGGATGTGGTAGGCTGGTCAGGATGTTAGCATGACGGTCAAGTATATGCCATGCCGCCTTGGGTTTAGAGACTTACAGAAAGGGCCGCCCTCTTTGGGGAGGTTGGAGAAGCGGACCTTGAACTCAACACCCTTGCCGTCGGGGGCCGTGATGGCGACGATGGAACCTTTGACGTTGCCGTCCAACGAACCCGCCTTGAAGAAGGGAGTCTCGGGCAAGATAGCCTCGTACACAACACCAGGTGGGTTCGACATGATGAGGGCATCACCAAGCGCCTACGTCGAGGCGAGGAAGTGTCAGTCAACAACACTAAAAGAAAAACACCATGTGAGGGGTGGAAAGCGACATACGCCAGTTTCGGCCGCAACGCGGCCGAATGCCGCAGCAGCAATGACGGAGATGATAGAAGAGGCCTTCATTTTGTGATGTTGCAAATCCCTTGGGTGCTGAGAGGCGGGCTTAGATGGATGGAATGTAGCAAGGCAGGAGCAGGGAGGTGTTGATCAAGGGAGGGCATAGGGAACGGACATCGGGGTAAAGATCGGAGGGGGTTGGGAGGTTCTTAAAAGAGCAATAGACGGTTGGGATACCCAGACCTGGTGACGATCGATCTGACTATGAGTTGGTGATGATTAGTGACTGAAGGCCGAAGGCGGAAAGCTAATTAATGATGGTATGCGAAGGGTAAGTAGGAATCGATCGGGTCGCAATCCTTATATGCCCCCCCCCCCCCCCCCACACACACACACGAGATGTGATGAGGATGAGACCAACCAAAGACCCCAATATCGCCCGCAGCTTCGGCAAACATGGTGGTACCTATGTCAACGGCAGAGTGAACACACAAACACACACAAACGCACACACGCCCCTCCCCCAAGTTTGCGTCAAGTCTGGGTAATCAAAGGAAGGAACGAGAGCTGAGAATGGGGAGTTGCAACTTCAGATGCTTTGATTCATCGTGTACATGTGCTACCGACCAGATAGATGGTGACGGCAGGTAGCCGGTTAGCGCCTGCACATATTACCTTTACCTAACACACATACCTTACCTTCCTTACCTTGGCCAATATACTGTTGGTGGCAGTAGCGTAGGCGGCGGGAAGAATGTTTCTCGCAAGGTAGGTAGGTGTCGAACCTTCCATTCAAGGGGTGACCCTGTGGGCCCTGTGCGACTGGGGGAGAAGAGACGATGAAGGACAGGAGGGGCGGGGAGTGGGAGCAGGAAGGATCGAGAGCAAGTGTGCATGTCAAAGAGACCAACCAGGATACCCCTCTGGCTCGAGCTGTGACAGGCAAGCTTAACATTTTGAACTTAATGACGGCGCCCGCCTATCCGCCTCGATAGCCAGCGGACCTTAACTCTCCGGTGCGTCGGTTTCGAACACTCACCCCATCCGCCTCTCTGTATTCTACACATATTCTCTCTCTCTCTGTCTCCCTCTCCCCCTCTTTTTCCACACCCTTCTTACACACACACACACACACACACACTTGTTGGAAGGGGAGCCAGGCATTAACGCCGAGGCTTTTGGTAATTGAGCTGCAAGTAAAAGGTAAGGAGGAAGGAAAGGAGCCCGCGGATCACAGAGGACTAGCCTAACTGGGCATAGTACCCAAAGTTGGGGGCGGCGTGCCTGGCTCCGTTGGCCGCCACAGACAAGGCAGCCCAGACTGGGATCGGGTTTGCCCTGGGCTGTTGCATGCTAGCCGCCAAGAAAACAAAATAGGTAGGTAGACGGCTGGCAATGTCTGACTTTGTTTCCCCATGTGCCTCTGCCCTGCGCCACCAGAGAAACAAGCACCGTGATACATTACTACCCCCGTAGCAGTCCCTGCCAACGCAGAAATACCTATACATGCCAGTGCCTGGACGAAACGAGCCAACAGTCAGCCTAAAGCCAACAGCGAGCACAGGGCAGGAAAGGACGGACTCGGAGGCTTGGTCACAAGGAACGCGGATATAGATAGCTGCGCTTTTCGGAACCGCATGCAGGTGGCCGCATGAACAGGCGAGGCAAGGCAAGGCTAACTGACCGACGAAAGCCCCCGTGGATAAAGAAAGGGGAGGAAACACAAAAGCCACGCAGTCAATGAATGGTCCTTTTTTTCTGTTTTCTGTTTTATGTATGCCAAACCAACAAGCCGAGGAGGGAAGGAGGGAGGGAGGGAGGGGAGGTCTACCTGGCCTGTTGGTTTGGCTCCTACTGATTAGGCACGGTACCTAGACGACGTCAGGAGCACGGGGGGCAACCTCGACAACGTTGCTCAGACGCTGCGGCCGCATTGGGCGTGATACGGGGCTATGCGATGGGATGCGATGATGATGGGATGTATGGAAGAGAGATCTACTAATACCAAGTGTGGTACGAACACGGATATGTACGGATACCATAGGTAGGTCTTCGTAGAGTGGAACATGGAGGTGGAGGTGGGGCCAGATCTCCCGGCATCGCTTCAGGCCGCTATAAAACACAAACTTGGGCGGCAGCAGGCGCCAACCTGCCCCCATATCTATCCGCCAACACGAAATAGCGCGCTGCGTACTATACCCTGGGAAAGGCGAGCAGCTGTCGCAACTGTGCCGCTGCATCCAAGCGCGCTGTCCACTCCGCTCAGATGTGTCCGTCACTCGTTCCTGCTGCATACCTAGTATAGTATCCCTTGGATAAGTTTCGAACGAAAACGGCTTCTCTCTACTCCGTACAAGGGGCCCATATCCATCTTGTTTGTTGCCTTGGTTGTGACCAAGACGCCAACCGCAGCCCACGATCCTGGTCTGCACAAAGGGAATCGCAGCCGAATAACCTCTTGTTTCCAGGACCGGTAGTCCATCGGAAAGCAACGTCCTTTGACTGTCCTGCTTACTGCGTAGGGCCAAGCCTAGTGACACATAATCACCTGTCGAATCCCACGTCAAGTCGTTGCCTCCGTCCCCTACCCCTTTAATGATGCTTCCATTCCAGCTGCTCCCGCCAGCTCGCGAGCAGCAGAGTGGCCTTCGTTGTCACGCCTTGGCCAGGCACAAAGCATCCTCCGACAGCCAATCCACAGCACAGAGAGGCCGCATGGGTGTCCATCTGGGTGGGATCTGCGGATCTTCCGTCTAATTATTGACTCACCCATGTCGCCATGCGCGGCCGCTGTGGTTGGCTGACGAGGGTCGAGTGCCTTTCCGAGCCGAGGGGTAGCGTTGCTAGCACTGGTAAGCTGGGAATTCTCGGCGCCAGTGCCTTGCAGATCGCTTGCGACTCGGCGAGGCTCGATTGAGCCCTCCGGTGCCGTCAGCGCTTGCAAGCCTTAGGCTTGCCGAAATGTTGCCTTGACAAGTCGCAGACAAAGTCTAGTCGTGGGATGTTGCTCTGACGGTTGAATTGGCATGGAAACCACAGATGGCCACGTCCTGGCTTGTGTTTTAAAAGCGAGCCCGCCTGCTATGGGCACCATCATCACTAGCTAGCGCACGTCTGCAATGCTTCTTCGGGACACAGCATGTTGAGGGCATAGCGAAGTCGGTTGGCAACCTCTGCACAATGTCCAGCTACAAGGGAGGCACTCCTTCGTCCTATGCTGTCAGAGTGGGAGCCTTTCCAGTGCACCCTTTCGATATGCAGCATTGGCGGCTATCGTCCGGACAAACAGTCGGCACCTCTGTGCCATCATCATCAGAACGTTAGCCTGCCTGCCGACATGACGAAAATCGACGTTTCGGGAAATAGTCGCGGAGCCAAGGGGTGTCATTCCTCTTTGGGGAACCCTCGGGGAGGCTCCATATCGCGGCTCTCAACACCTGCCCTGCGTTGAGTGATGCTGTGCACTGTCGACGTTTCGCTAGAGCATATGTTGGGCCCGAAGACAGCAAGATTCCTCCGTCTGGGAGATGGGCCACCCGTCAGGGTCAAAGACGCTGTTTCAGCATGTCATGTCACTGCCCAAGCGACGAACTCATCAGCCCGTTTGCTCTCATCAGGCCTGCTCAAGGTGTGGGCCACCCGGGAACCGACGCTTCGTTCCGTTTCCTGCTAGGCAAACGGCCACATCGAGTGTCACTGCCACCTCTCGAACGGTCATTTCTTGGCATTCCATCCCTCGTGCAACCGTTGGACGTTGGAAGAGCCTCCCAATTAATGACATGGCATCGTCCGCTAGTGTCAGCTGACGGTTGGCTCGTTTAGCTCAGACAGGCCTCGGGCTCGACGTCAGCGTGCCGGACATCACCGCGCCCATCGACTACCTGGATACTTTTGGCGCTGTGTCCACTCGGATGAACACTTTTGAAGAGCAACTGCCTGTGGTTTTTCTACGTTTGTATTGCCCAAGGCTATTGCAAGACATATGTGTTTCAGGCCTCAAGAGTCCTGGGCAGACGAAACTGCTCGCTGACCTGCCGGATATTAAAGTGATTGTGGTCCGTACATGTCTAATACCGCTTGCCGTGTGTATGGACCTGAAGCGTCCAGGGGCAGTAGCTGCTGGAGGCCTTCGTGTCGTCCAGCCGCATGATGCACCCGAAGAACGCGCAGCAGTGAACGTGACAGCAAGATGGGAGTTTGCGGGAACGGTCCGATGCGCCTTCGGACTTGCAAGGGTTGATCTCCGTCTGATCCTTCCCAGTGAGGAATTCGGGCAGGCTGGATGGAAGATTGTTGGCCTTAGGCGCGCGGAATGCGATCCTAAATCCTGAGCTGCCTGACTGTGTAGAGGCGGCTTGGATGGTAGCTACACAATGAAGGCCCGGGCGAGAAGGTCATGGCCAGCGGTAGATGGACTTTCGGGGAAACAATTTTCCGCCGCATCGATATGTGGCTGGAGTTCCTTCGATCTGTGGCTTGTGCTCCAATATCGGCCTGGCCGTTCAGGCACAACAATTGGACGTCACCGAACTGGTGTGGAGCTTGGCGATACAGCAACATCATCGCGAAGATTACGGATACTCCACGAAGATTACACATCCATCACGAAGAACCAGGCTTGCATCTCCAGCACATCGCACATATCAACCGGGAGACAAAGTCTTCGTCGAAAAAGCCGCAAAAATGAAGCCCGTCGTGAGCGCCATGCAAGCATGGCAATGGTACGCCCCCTTCCGAGATCAAACCCCTTTGGGGGGATGCTCCAAATGCTAACGTTAGTCCGTGTCCACAGCACCGTCATCTCCGTTTTCGCCATTGTTATCCTCGGGGTCCTCGGTGTTCTGTTTAATCAGAACCACCCCGAGCTCGTTGGTAGCGAGGAAGACCCCAAAGATGGCAGCGCCGTCGCGAGCACCATCTTTGTCTCTGTTATGATCTACATCGTACGTTTACCCGTTCTTGCTGCGCATGCGTGCACGGAAATCCATTAGGATGATATCCCACTAACCATATGGCTTAGGGCTTCTTCCTCTTCTGTGGTCTGCAGGGCCTCCTTCACGTCCGCGAGAATCGGCGAGGCGCGATTGCATTGTAACGATATAAGAGAAGGGAAGAGAAATGTATGGCATCAAAAGACATAACGGTTTCCTGGCGTTCGGCATCATGTTGGTTTTTGCGCGGGTCGACCCGAGTCCGCATTCAGTTGAGACGGTCTACGGCGTCTGAAGAGGGTGGGAGATAGCGTTACCCAGTGGAGGCTGGCCAAGGTCGCACTCCGGACAGGGCATACTGCATCGTTGGGTGACAGCATTGGTTTCGATGTACGAGAGAATTGTTTTGCGAGGCTCGCAAGAGGAGTCGGGTATCTAATAAGCGGTTACAAATTCTTGAGGAAAGGGTACGCAAAGGGATCCTTTACAAGAGGCCTCAGGTCCGCTACCGAAGCGTTGACTTGGGTTGGATCGCCATTCGGTGTTTTAAAACACATTGATAGACCCGGGCACTCGCGTGTAAACAAATCAACAAGTCATCAGGTTCCGTCCATGAGATGCGTAGAGGTCGTGAACAATATGTAAAACTTCCTTCGGTCTTCATCGCGGACCCAATCAGCAACGCTAAGGATAAGGACTTGGGTGGCCTCGATACACGAGGGCCCGCACCATATTCTGCCAGACATCTTTTGGTCATGGGAAGTATGAAAAAAGAAGGTATCTTGAATACCAAGGCACTTAATTTGTGATTGCTTCTCGACAACCAAACTCACGTCAACCAGTGCATCACTCCCGTCACGTCATGGTGTATACTCCCACATTATACCATCTTGATCAATCTGGGAATCGCTGATGTGACCAAACGTGATGCTCGTCCGCTCGCTCACCTGCATCCGCCCTTCCATCTTCTTCTGCCTCAGCTCCTTTCCTAGTCTAGGATTACTACTTGTCAAAGTCCATCTCCACGAGCTTTTCGTCCCTTGGTAGAGCCGTTTTGTGTCTTCTCTGAATCATCGTTGAGGCGTATTGAGATTGATGACATGCTGTAGATTCTTGTACGACATTCTTTTGTTTCTGAACCTTGCAAGCTGTCGAGCAATCGTGATGCCGTTTCGGGTTTGTCCCCTATTCATCTCTTGCTTGGAAAAGTCCCTGAAGTGATGCGTAACGTCATCAATGTTGGCTCCCTTCAGCTCTTTGGACACTCGTTTTCTCGGTCAAGAGAGATGAGCATCGCTGCCCTCTTGCACTAGTGTTCTTAGCCGATCGTCGGCTCTTCCCAGTCGAACAGCGTTAAGACATGTTGAGTGCTCTGTGACGTAGATGAAGATGTATGTGGGATTTCGAGGATTCGTTAAACGTACTAGCCCGACTATAGGGCGTGATGTATGCAGCATCGCAACATTTGAGGACACGCACAAAAAAAAAAAAAAAAAGAAAGGATTGCCGGAGCGTTCTGTCAATGATTGGCCATTCCGTTGCTCAAAGTAGATACCAGCCTCAATCAGGCTGTTGGGTCTGGACTCTCTGGTCTTTCCCTGAGGTGATTCGAACGTCGAGACTGGTAAAATACCAGCGGATCGCAACCAAAAATGATGTACGTGGCGATCACGGCCTGAACCATTGCGAAGAAGTATGCCAAGTGTCGCAGATACACGCGACCGGGAAATGCTACCGGGGAAGAACAGACCAACGGTAGCATCATCACTCTAAGCCATGAATAACCATAACAAAATGGCTGGATCGGCAGACTGACGATGCTCGCCTCCTATCCAATGAACCACTCCTAGTAGCACGACGTACCGCAGATGTCTGAGGACGCCCCCGAGCCATCGCAAGACACCTGCAAGTCCAGAAACAGCCCGAAGAGAAGCACGGTTGGCGGTCGCAATATAGAGACGGCCACTTTTTGCCTTGCTAATATGTGCAGATTATGAAAAGGTGACCTTTGGGGCTGAGAGTGCACTGTCTTGAGGCAACGGAAACTGTACGTGTCCTAGCTAGATAGCTTGATCTCGACTACACATGATATCCAACGAGTTGACGACTGGAAAATAACCAAAAACTCGGAACCGACCTATGATAAGAAGAAAATACATAGCGCATCCACAAAGCGGGATATCAACTGCACGTCGCCCTACGGCCAAGGACACCTGTGCGGCCCGACTTCTCCCCTTCATCGCCTGCTGAACATTCGGTCGATGGGAGGGAAGAGTCCTTAGACTGCGACAATATGTCGATAGTCGTCCGGACATTGATCACCGGCCGATTGACCGAAGCCTGAGGCTCCTGTACGTAGTCCCTCTGTCCGAAGTCAGAAGACGACTGTGAGCCGTCGTGCTCGGCGTCCTCGTCTCTCCTGTCGTCTCTCATCTCGTTCTGAACTGTCTTGCTCAGTTCAATATCCGAGCCCGTGTCGGGCAGGGGTTGATCAAAGTCGTAAGACGTCCGTTCCGTGTAGTTGAAGCTGTCCAAATTCGCCGCTCTGGCGCTGGGTATTGGTACCTCCTTCCTTCCATGAGAGTCGTCTGATTTGGCCCAACCTGGCCCCGAAGGACGGGAATCCTTTCCCTGGCTGCTCCATCCAAACCCCCAGTTTTGGAAGAGCGGCCGCAAGCTGGGCACCGTGGCCGCGATGATTCCGAGGGCAGGTTCCATGACGCTCCAGATGGCGACGTCGCTGTCGGAAAAACATGATTAGTATGAGCGGACGGCTAGGGTGCGTTGAGTCAGAGGGGCTTACATTGTCTCGTAGAGAAAATCTGTCGAAATAGCCAAGTGTCTGACATAAGGTATGCGGACCATGAGGGCCACACCGGCGCTGCAAGAACGTTAGCAAAGATGTTCAAAGTGGGTTATGTCTAGCGGGATCAGCTCACATCATGCCCATGCTCAGGAGAACGGCTACCAACGCCTTGGTCCGTCGGTTGAGTTTGACGTTCCACAAAAGGGCGATGGGTATCAAACCCATACACCAGTCTGATGTGGCCGAGATGACGCTGTGGGCAATGGTAGCGTCCGGGACGATGTTGTAGTTGATGCATGAGCCCTTATCCCCGTACAACTGTCTCCAGAAGTAGGACGGCGGCATGCACTGGAGTGTCATGATGACGAAGAAGGCGATCGAGATCATCCAGATAACGACCATGTTGGCGTAAATGATCCAACGGTGGTATTTGTTGACGGCGATCCGGAGTAGCAGCAGGGCGATCGAGGTCCGAATCGCCAGCGTGATCGGGGAGTACATGACTTCGCATATGTACCAGCCTCTCAGAGATATGGCAGCCTCCTCGATGGTGAGGTTTTGGACGTGCTTCCCGGTGGCGCCATAAACGACTCCATGGATAGCCACGGCCCCGTATCCCGTATAACCAAGCTATGTGAAGGCGTCAGTCGTGGTTCAACAATCCGGAAGGCTGGACAATGGCCACTGACCATCGCACCAAAGATGAGCCAGTCGTCTAAGGCTATGCTCTTGACGATGAATATTTTGACATACGCTCTCGCCAGGACAAATAGGCCAGCGATGATGACGAAGACCATCTGGACGACATACAGCTCCATGCCCCGGTCGTCCGTGCCTTGGCCATCTCGTGTGTGTAACGCGCTGTCCATGGTGTAAAGTGTCAATAGAGACATTCTAGTCACAATGTCGAAATTGTTGTCCGCAATGCCTCATGACGGCGAATGGCTGGAACTTTATGCACTAGCCAGCGCGCTCACACAGGGCCGCAACACCATGCATGTCCCGCCAGCCGTCTGTCAAGAAAAGGAATACCCCCCCTGGTGGGTTATGCAGTGGTGAGAAAAAGAAATGCGTTCTTATCGTCCTATTTCTCCACGTTTGGACAAAGTTCATATATGTATCTTTCTCTGACATATCACAACGCTTTTGATTTGTAAATCACTCAGGGCTGGTGGTCTCGCCCGCCGTTCCGAGGTTCAATTCGTCGGAAACAGCGTTTTGACTGAAATTTCGCACATCTCCATACTGGTTACCGGCCTCTCATTGCAAATGATCTCTACGCCAAAATTATTGCGAGTCAAAAGGTCTACATAGATGCTTTATACAATGTAGATAAACCTGGTCACCCTGGTCTACTTACTCGCTCCACGGTTGGCATCGGTAGAGAGGGGGGGAGGGGTTCGCTTCTTCCAAAGACGACCAAAAGAGAGGCAGGTCTCGCTGCCGGGGACGGAGTACGGGAGTCGCTTAGAACATCTAAAAATACACGGGAGAATCTGCCGGTCGACAAGCATCTCTGATGTGTTGTCTCTGGTTGCTCCATGGTTCTCATTATTTCAACTCTATGCCATATACTATGTATGTTTTAGGGATACGAGTCCCCGGTTTGGGGGGTGGTGGTGTGAGGGGACGTGAATACGAATGAATACAAATGAAGAGAAACCCGGTATTTTTGAGCCGATGAAATACATTTCCTGGACAATTCTGATATACGATGAGCTCTGCCCTTGCGTGGGGGGGCGGGGTGGAAGCTGGTCTCCACCAACTCAATTGTGATCAAATTTACGCCAGCGAGATATATTCCTTGCCCGCCGTGGAAACTGTTCGAGCCTCCGCGTGCAACGCTTCGCTGTACAGAACGGCCGCTTTGCAACCGAGTGGCAAACTTCTCCAGCCACGGACCAGAGGCGGCAGCCCGAAACACGTCTGGTGCCTGGAGGGCTGCTGCTCAACGACCGGTCCACGATTTATCACTTATAGTTGAAGACAGAACGACACAGGGGGCGCTCTTGATCAGGGTCGATGCGGCAGGGCGAAGGGTTAGGATATCATATAAGCTTGCGGACACCTGGCAGCGTAAAACCCGTAGCTCTAAACCGATCGCGAGCTTCTCGTCAGTGCGTATGCATTGATTGCCACTTGGATCGAATTGTAATATAATGGAGAGAAGTCTGGTCTCAGTAACAAGCCCCATGCCGCCATGGATGGCACCCGGTTCGGCCTTTCAGTCCTCGTTTGTGACAAGAGCTGTAACGTCTGCTCATGGTAGGCGCAATGCCCGTCCCGAGTTAGCATGATCTGCGAGTGATTGCTTACTGCAGGCTTGCTGCACGTTTCGACCTGCGAGATTTGTCTACGAGCACATTTTGTGTGCCCAGGCCCGAAGGGGGATATCGGGGCAGCCTGCAACGACCCCTAATAGAAATTGCACAAGACCATCTGCTAGGGTTCAGATCATGTACCTCCGTCCATGTCAACGGGCACGTATGTCGCACGACCGATTACAGAGCAGGAGAGCAAATCTATTAACATGAGCGTCGGGATGAAGTACTCCACTATTATGAGTGCAAGGAGTGGATAGTTGTGAAAATCCTCTCGTTGGAACGGCTGTATACGTAAGAGGAGTCACCAAGCGTCTAGTTCAGAACTTCCCGTGGCGGGATCTCCAGTTGCCGGGTCTTGGAGACGAGAAACATGCCCAGACTGAGCCGACGCAGCTTGGCTGACCTGTCAGTCCAAGTGTAGAGGCTGGGCTGGTGGGATCGGGTCATGGCCTCGCCATATGCCTGAACCTGATACTCTCAAGACGTCCCGGTCAAGAATATCAAATCAGCAAGGGCGGAGAAAGAAAAGAAAGTTGAGGTAGGGGTGAAGTGGAAGATGTCCAACGAGGACGGACCACTTACTAGGGTGGCACAGGCTCAAAGGAAGTGTTAGCAGCAGGGGTCGTGGCAGGAATCGCCAATCAATGAAGCTCCGGCGAGATGTCAGGCGCTTCACCCCAGCCGCCGGGGCACAGCTGTACTGGTTCCGGACGCTTGACAGATATTGCGGTGTTGTTTCAATTTGACATACTAGTGCCGGATGCCGTCAACAGGTTCGCATTGACAGGGCATGGCGCATATGAGAGCCGGCAGAAGTATTCGGGTGTACCTTCTTGGGCACGGAATGGAGCTTGTCGCCCTTCACATAGTGCCATATGCAAGGCCCATGGAACGTGCGGCGGCAGATCAGTCTGTCAGATAGTCTTGGGCTGACGGTCCATAGTAAACAATGCTTACGCTCTGGCCCTGCCTCAGGGCTAGCGACCGCGTGTGGCCAGTCTACACTAGGTCAAGCTTATGGGCGCTGACAACGTCGAGTAACAGAGCTTGCCGTGACATCCAGAACGTTTCTTTTGGAGGTCAAGCCTGCAGTTTGACAACCGTTGGATGGAGTCGTGGAGATGCGCTCAAGGCGGGTGACAAATGATTTGTGAGCAGTTTTGTGGCCCAGACCTGCTTATCTGTTCCCAGCGACCGTCTGCGGTCCTTTTTTCGGACTTTTGTCATATGCAACTATTTGCCCTCCATATGATGCCTACCAGCAGTCAATGTCTCAACGCTATTATTTCGGGAGAGGCTTGCCAGCCACTCGAGACCACCCAAGCCATGACAGGAATGTCTCACGCTATATTGCTGCAGGCTCGCATCGACGGGCTGTGGTGTTTCTGAGAGAACATGAAGGGAAGGTGCAGATGGGACATCTATAGCAGCCGTCTCCATGACTGGTTAGGGATCATTTGCCCATCGATAAGGTTGAATGCTCTCGAAAATGCAGTCGAGCAAGCGATGCAACGGCAAAAACAGTTTCCTGCTTTCACTACTGTCCGCGAGTCATGGAAGCAAAATCGTCGGGTTTCAAGCTTTGCCTCGATGAAGAAAAAGAAAGTGCCTAGAGAGGGGTAAATGAGCATCGGCTGGCTCGTGTGCCCGGGAGGGAAGCAGTAGAGCCAGCGGGGACGATGGATTGAGTGGGGCCTGGAACGACGTGGCGTACGAAAAAGAAAGGAACAACCGGCAGGGTCACCACTTCGGCGTTGTAGGACCTCCGCGTCGGGTAGAATCCCGCCATCACGAGATGCCATATCGGCACGAAACGCGGGGCTTGCGTAACGGGCGGCCGGCAATGGGGTGGGGTCCGATTTACACGGCATGCACAGACCACAAGCCCGTTGTCTCCGGACCATGTCGCTGCAGTCACGTGCAAGCCGTCATTGCTTGCCACCGAAGCTGTGTTTGTGACTTGGGCTACTCTGTACTTGTCTGCCGAATCAATGTCATTGGGATTGACATTGAAACGACAGTCGGTGAGTTGTGATAAGTAACACTGTTTGTCTCCGTAGCCAGGCTGGCCAAGCACAGGTCGCCGCCGGGCGGTTGGGTCCGGACCTTGGTTTGAATGCAGAGAATCGAAATTGTTGAGTGCGATCAGAACACTGAGAGCTGCATGGCTCCTGCATGGTTACTCATTCTGCAAGCTCGACCAATTATTTGAGTGTTCATGACGGAGGGAGGAAGCAGCGGCTGGGCCCAGGCCTTGTGATGCTATCTCTGATTGCGGTCACAATGACGTCGTTGATGAGGTAGGCAGGTGGGTAACTCGTCTGCCTAGGTACATACCTACCTGAGGTAATGTACGCACTTTCGTTCCCTCAACTTGACGACATACTGACAGCAACTTCTTTTCTGTCCTAGCTTCAATCTCCATGACCGTTAAAACACTCCTCGCCCACCCTGGACCAAAGTCTAACCTCTGAACCTTCTACCATCCACCACAACTCAGTATACCAAACACTATGACTGATAAAGGACAATTCGAAGAGGGTATGGTTATCCCTGTCTTTTGACCGGCCGCCCTAATACGATATACTGACAAAAGTAACAGGCTACAAGGTGCCGGTGACGGACCAAGAGTTCCCCGGCAAGGAGGGGAAACTACCCGTCACTCCCTTGTTCGACCGAGTCCCGACGCCTGATGGCGGCTCCAAGCTGTACCAGGCTGCGGGAAAGCTTGAGGGGCTGAAGGCTATCATCACCGGTGGTGACTCTGGTATCGGCCGTGCTACAGCAATTTTGTTCGCTATGGAAGGAGCCGACTCGTTGATCGCGTACCTCCCCGATGAAGAGGAGGACGCCCAGGAGACCAAAAAGCGCGTCGAGGACTATGGCCGCAAGTGCTACCTTGTCGCGACCGACATCACTGATCGCGCAAATTGCCAAAATATTGTCGACACAGCGCTGGAGAAGCTTGGCGGCATCGACATTCTGTTCAACAACGCTGCATATCAGATGATGGTTGAAAACATCAAGGACTTGAAGGAGTACGTATACCACCCACCCAGTCTTGACGTTATCATCGGTGCGGGGCTTGAATTCTTGTCACTAACACCATCGAAGGGAGCAGTGGGTTCACACCTTCAACACCAACATCCACCCGATGTTCTACCTGGCAAAGTACGCTTTGCCTCACATGAAGAAGGGATCAACAATCATCAATAATGCGAGCATCAACGCATACATTGGCCGACCAGACCTTTTGGACTACACCTCAACCAAGGGCGCCATCATCTCCTTCACCAGAGGGCTGAGTAACCAGTTTTGCGACAAGGGGATCCGTGTCAATGCAGTCGCCCCAGGCCCGGTCTGGACGCCACTGATTCCCGCGACCATGAACGAGGAGGCCCAGAAGCAGTTCACGAGCCCCATCGGACGCCCGTCGCAGCCCTCCGAGATTGCGACCTGCGTCGTCTTCCTTGCCTCCACCGACAGCGCAAGTATCACCGGCCAAACCATTCACTGCAACGGGGGTGTTATTGTCAACGGTTAACTCAAGGTTGATATTGGAAGTTTTATGGCGGCTGAAGACATGTAACAGTAGTAACTAGCTAGCACGACAAGGACAATGATGCATGATGAATGAAGCTGCATATGCTCTCAGGATGCCAGGGCCCCCTGTCGCCCCTGTCGATGATGCCCCGCATAAGCCCAGTCAGTATCATACATCTCAAGCTGTGCGACTGTGTAAAGATATCCAATCCAGTCAATTCTTGTAGGGGGGTTTGCTACTTTGATAGTCTGCCTGCCTGCCTTTAGTAAACATGCCACGCGTGCGGCTGTTAAATCATAGACAGCTTAGCTCTCCAGCAGGTTACATAGTATGGATAGGCTCAAGGCTGGGTCAACAACCCAGGGGAACCCCACGGCAGCGCTAACCGCAATTGGTAAAGGCATATTGATGAAACAGGGGCCCTGGAGTGAGATGTAGCCAATCACGAACAGCCGAGGACCTGCCAAAGAGGGGCGGAGCGTGCTGTGCATGAACTGCATTTCCATACATATACGGATATATGCGGTTCTGGTGCATGCATGCCCGTCGAGATTGGAGCGAATTTCCTTCCACTGGACTGCCATGCCGAACCTCCTAGGATGACGGGTTACCTACATAGACATTGTGTTTGTTTGCGGGCTAGAACAGATCAACACCAACCAACCCCCTTATCCTCATTCTCATTGTTGATACAAGGGATCTGTTTGCTTGGGTAGTATTATGGTAGACACTTGTCTCGGCGCGGTAAACCAGCATATACGTCGCCTCCATTACCCCGTGGTTGGCGTTGTCAACAAATGTCTGTGTGGCAGATAGGTCTGGCACCATGTTATGTTGCCAACCCAGATACGAGAAACTTGGTCGCGTACATGCGTTTCCTATTTCAACGTACGTATCATTCCTTGTCGATACGCAGATACAATGCTGATCCGCGAACCATACTCGCCTGGCTGCTAAGGAGCTACGGCAACGGTCGGTCGCGTTGGGGTTGGACCAAGACCGGTCCATTCTCTGCGACGCCGGGAGACATTGGCAGGTGCCAGATCCTTTGTCTTTCTTTGGATTGGTCTTTTTGTGTACCTGGAGAGTTATGCAGCCAATGGCAAGCTAACCCCAAGTCTAGGCTGGGGGCACTGGGTCGGGTCCCCAAGACGCAAAGCGAAGTAGTGTGTACGCGCAGCTTCCACGTGTTGCTCACAGACTCTGTAGAATTCTAGAGTATCGCAAGTACTCACTACCTGGAGCCTTTTCACTCCCCTCCAAAAAGTGTCGTGCATTCCCCTTCCCTGATGCACCCTGTCGCAGGCCCCATCCCTTCATTTTCCTTCTCCCCCTTCCAGAATAACACGTTCAGTCCTCTTGTTTTGGGCCGAGCCACCCATATCTTCTCCATCTGTTGTTTTTCTTCTTCCACTTCTTCTCTTCCTCTTCTGCATCAAAACGAACCTCGCCCAGTTGTCCATGACACTGCCTCTTTTTTTGGCCTGCTAAGCTTTGCTTCCTGACAGCTTGAACCCCTCGAGCCGTGCATGTTAGCAGCTGCAAAGGACTCCACCAACATCGAATAAACAAACAACCAATTCCGCGCCGCATCTTGTCGCATTCACAAGATACCCTTGGCTACGATGGCCGCCACGTATAAGCAGTTCCTGGCTGCGCCCAACTCGTCGTTGCTCGCTCCGAACGCGACCCTCTACTACATCACTACGACCACGACTTACAGTGGCCCTAGCGAGATCATCAAGCATCTCAACACCCTGCGCAACCAGGTCAAGAAGCACAAGGAGGAGGTCCTGGATGTCGTCGAGGGTCGCGATGCTATCGCTGCCGAGGTAGACACCACTCTGGAGTTCGTCACCAGCGGAGGCGTCTATCTGCCCGGCCTGGATGACAACTTCCTGGCCGACCGCACTGTCTACCTTCCTATTGTTCGTACTGTCCCGCCCTCCAATACACCTGCTACCTGACACAGCTGACACCTCGCGCCACAACAGATGCACGTTGTGAACTTCGATGGCGACGGCAGGATTGCACAAATCAGACAGACTTGGGACCAGGGCGCCCTCCTGAAGCAATGCGACATCATTGGCAGGTCGGGCCGCAACTGGCCCATTCGGGACAGCACCGAGCAAATCAAGCTCATCACCAAGGGCTTGAAGGCCACTGGCAAGGTCGACACTACTCCTGACACCAACGAGCTGATCAACCGCACACGCGGCAGCTCGACCAACGCCCTTCGCGACCCGCACGCCTCCCTCTCCTTGTTCGCGCCTAGAGAGCAACAGACTGAAGAAAGCCCCCGGGCTGTCGTGTCACCTTATGCGGGCACACGACCGCATCAACGATCTATCACCGATATTCTAGGCAATGCCGAGCTGGAAGAGCCAGGCTCTCCTAGCGCAGGCCGTGAGCGCGACGCGTCGCACAGCAAGGCCGTCGCTCCCAAGATGGGCGCCGGCAAGAACTTCCAGCCCAGTCGCTTGTTCGACGCCGATGAGCACGCCCATGTGCCCGACAGTCCCGAGCAGAAGTCACCCGAAAAGTTCTACCGGCCGAATCCTAAGAAGTTCCAGCACTTTGACTTCGCTGACGGCTCTGACCCGCAAGACACCCCCAAGCCCGCCGAGGGCCGTCCCAAGCCCAGCAAGCATGATAGCAATTGGTCTTTTGACGATTTTACAACCCCGCAGAAGATCAAGCCTGGCAAGAAGCAGCGCGCTCAGGATGTTCGCCATTGGGACACGGACATCAACAACTCGGCAGTCAAGCACACTCCGGTTGCACGGGTGGCCCAGGTGAAGGGCCGCCGTGATGCTGAGGCCCATTTCGACTTCGAAGACGACGGCCCAGCGGTCACTCCCCGACAGCCAGGACGACCCAAGGGCGCTGGACACAACGACGGTCTCCACCTCTACGAGAACAACCTGTACAGTGAAGACGGCAAGCCTCTTCCTGCCGACTCGGACCGTGCTCTGGGCAACATCACGAACCTGAATCACCGTCAGAAGGACTTTGATCCTCATTTCGCCATGGAGGATAACTCGCCTAACCACGCCGGTCAACAGGGGCGGGCCGCGGTCAGCGACTCTCGCAAGAAGGCGGTTACCCAGATGAACTCCAACTGGGAATCCTACGACGAGTCTCCCGCGTCGCAGAAGGAGAACAGGCCCGAGGCGCAGAAGGGCCCCGGCCACGGCATCCACATTGCCGGAGACGGCATGGGCTCGAAGAAGACTAGAGACGATCAGGATGCCGAGTCGAAGGGTATCCACATCGCCGGCGACGGCATGGGCGGGAAGAAGGGCACCAACCGAAACTGGCTCTACGGCGACGTCGACGAGCCCGAGGAGCCTATCAGGGCCATTCCGCCCAAGGGTGGTGGCATGACGGCGGCCCAGAAGAGCTTCTGGGACTTTTAAACACGATCGCCCCAGGCCTGCGCTTGTATTGTGCAGCACCCCACACCCCAGCAGGGCCTGGCATTTCTTGATTGTTTTGTTACGACTAAATGTCTTTGACACGCTGCCCATGAATCACGGGAGCGACTTATTGCTGCTAGAACTCTACCTGTTCTTCTTTCACCTGCGGACCCACACTCGAGCCACTGCGCGATCGGAACCGGCCCTGGAAAGACGATTTTCTGGCTCGAAACACCTAGATGTAACAATGCTGTGCCACCCCATCGCGGGATAGATGACGAGAGTAAAATTGTTTTTGGATTAGGGGCGATAGGAGAGGATGCCGAGGAAAAAAACATAGCTTCCTCTATTATCTTATTGTGTACAAAGCCCATGATATCCAACAGACCGAAATCCTATTTTTTTTTATCTGCCTGGTTTTGACCGTGACAAATTCTCCAGTAGACATCCGGTGCTTGCCGGGAAACATGCGAGCTGCGTGGCACTGACTGTTTGCGTGCCGTCACAATGAGTGAAACTGGCCGTCGGCGAACAAGGGCATGTATCAAAAGCCATGCCGCCCTCCCTTACAAACAGGTACATGGCCGACGGCTGATCGAGCAAAGCGCCACGAGCTAGGTCAACCAACGGAATGGTTACGGGGAGTTTTGGTTGTCGCTATTCAGTATCTACCATGTCTGGGCCGCGGGATCGCGGATCGCTATGGAGCGGGAGAGACCGGTGACGGCCCTGCCTCGCCTCCTTTCCATAAGCATCTATCCGTAGTTTGCCGCTATTCAGAGAACTCGCTCACCCCCCCCCACCACGTGGGGTCTTCGTCGGGACATGCCCAATAAGTTTATAGCCCGTCTCCCGCGCACTGCCCCCTGAATTCTCAAACCAGAAAAAAAGAAATATATCCATAGTATTCCCACCCGGTTAACCCAAACGCCACGCTCACTGTCCATCGCTTTATCGTATTACCCAAAGGCGAGGAGGGGAAGAAAATGAAGGGGAAAAGGAATGGGGGGGGGAGGGAGCATGCTGTAGTTTATCCACTACTCGCCGCCCGGGCCCCGCGTGAGACAATGTCACCTCACGCGCCCATCAACACAAGAACTTGTACACACGCTTCCACGTGGGCCACGACTGCCGTTCCTCCTGCTCCTGGGTGACGAGGATGCCGAGGTTGAAGTCGCGGCGGCCGGTGCTGACGTCCATGTCCTTGACGCGGACGATGGTGGTGCGGAAATAGAACTTGTGGACGACGTACATGATGACGACGATGGGAAACGCGGCGTAGCGCAGAAAGAAGTTGCGGGCGACGGCCTCGGGCTCCCACTTCTCCCAGCCGACAGGGAAGGCGCCAACCCAGAACTGGGCCACGAGCACGAGGAGGTTCATGATGAGGCCGCACCAGGATCCCACGACGCCGACCTGGGAGCGGAAGGCAAGCTCGTGCAGGCCGTGGCCCTTGAGGGCCCAGGCGCGGCGGAAGCGGATGTGGCAGAGGCAGATGGAGGCCCAGGTGAAGACGGACGAGAGGCCGGAGATGGCGAGGAGCCAGTCGAGGACCTCGTCCTGCTGCTCGAGGTCGGCGAGGTAGGCAATGAGACCGAAACCGCCGGCGAGGCCGATGGCCATCAGGGGGCGGCCCTTGCGGTCGACGTACGAGAGGAAGCGCGGAGCCTGGTGTTGGTCCGCCAGGGCAGCGAGGGTGCGGGAGGAGCCGAAGACGGCCGAGTTGCCGACGGAGAGCACGGCGATGAGGATGACGGCGTTCATGACGGAGGGGAGGACGTCTATCCTGGCGTTCTCGATGGCGATGACAAAGGGGGACGTGGTGGCGTCGACGGAGGAGTCGGCGCCCAGGAGGCGCGCCTCGTTATAGGGGACCAGCAGGCCGATGAGGGTGAGGGCAACGACGTAGAACAGCGTGATGCGCCAGAAGACCTGCTTGATGGCCGTGGGCAGCGACTTGCGCGGGTTCGCCGTCTCGGCCGCCGCGAGGCCGACCATCTCGGTACCCGCGAAGGCGAAGGCGGCCGTGACGAAGACGCTGCAGAGGCCCTTGAAGCCATTGTGGAACGCCCCGGGGTCCTGCCAGTACCGGCCGCCGATGTATCCGGAGTCGGGGGTCCCCCCACAGTTGAGGACGATTCCGAGCAAGCTTTCGGGCGACAGCGGCGTTAGACGCGGAGACAAGGCAAGGCAGGCAGACAGACACAGGGCCGGAGGGTTAGAAGGGGGGGGGAAAAAAAGACTCACATGAAGCCAATCACGGCAATGATTTTGATAATGGAGAAGATGAACTCGGCCTCTCCGTATCCCTTGACGCCAAAGAGGTTTATGGCAATGATGCCAATGAGGAAGATTGTGACGAAAATGGCCTTGGTAATGTTCGGGTCCCAAAAAGTTATCGTGATGGATGCAGCAATGATTTCGAGCGGGAGGACAGTCAACCACTGCAAAGCGTAGCTGTGACACACCAGAGACGTTAGCCCGCATGGAAGACGGCAGGCGGGTTGCGCTACTCACTTCCAGCCCATGGCGAAGCCCCACGAGGGGTCCAGGAACCGCGTCGAGTAGGCCGAGAACGAGCCGGCCACGGGGAAGGCAACGGCCAGCTCGCCGAGGGCCTGGCAGGTGCAAAACAGCATGGCGCCTACGAGGGAGAAGGCCATCAGCAGCGAGGCCGGTCCGCCGATCTCGAGAGCCTGTCCCGACGCCACGAACAGCCCCGTGCCGATGGAGCCGCCGATGGCGATCATCTGCAGGTGCCTGCCCTTGAGCTTCCTGCTCAGCAGCGTGTTGGAAGTTTGCAGGTTCGCGAGGCGGATATCGTAGTAGTGCACGCCGTTGAGGACGCGCTCGTTGCCCGGTTCAAGGTCTATGGACGAGTTGCTGTTCGACCTGCGGTGGCGGCGGTGGTGGCGCATGTTCTCCGTCATCTGGCCCGGGTCGCGCTTGAAGCTCTCGAACACGCGGGCGAAGACGCCCGGCGCCGGGGTCGGGTCGTAAACCGGTTCGCGCCGCATGCTGTAGCTGCTCCCGAGGGTGAGGGAGTCCTCCTTGACCTTGATGGCGCTGAGTTCGACGTCTTCATTGTACGGGGCCATGTCGTTTCGCAAGTCCAGGAAAGCGGCCTGTGTTCTTCTCTCGCCGCTGGTCGCACCCGGGAGGAAGCGGCAAGGGCTTTTCGGGTCGGGCGTATGTCGATTGGCCGGTGGTGGGTTGACGCCAATCGGTTCGCAAGAGACTCGAGGGCCGTTTCGCTCTCTCGCTCGCTCGTTAGGTCGGGAAACCGCTCTCTAGTTGTCGGTCAGCTCTGCGAAGGAGCGCATGCCTGTCCGTCAAGGGCTATGTGTTCTGGCGTCGGAGAGTGGTTGGATGGTTCGACGGCTCGAGGGTCGTGTGATTGCGTCTTTGGCTGCCGGGTGTGTGGTGGTCGTTGATGATGGCAGTGTTTTCCGGCAATCTAAGGTTTCACCTATCCGTACTTTGCAGGACGGACGGTCGTTGCGGCGGCGTAACGATTGCCTTTCTCACCCAAAGGGGGGGTCGGCCGACTCGTCGCGGAGGGAAGAGGCCTATCAGGCTAGGTCCTCGACCATAACCAGCAGCAGCAGCACAGTTTGCCGCATTGGCGTGTTCGATAAAGTGACGGCCGGCATGGTGGGATTGGGGGTACACTTTGACACTCTATCTTTGCGACAGGGATGTTCCGCTGGCAACGCCACTCTCGATCCCTTCAAACGTTAGGTCGGCACCAAGACGAACAACTCTCGCCTCCTCGAACAGGCAAAGGCCCGGGCTGGGCCGGACAACGGACGAGTAAGGAGGGCGATAGCAATGGCTGGCCTCGAATCCTGTACCCCCAGACGAATCCACTTTGCTATCTCTCTCCCTCTCGCTTGTCGAAGGAGGTCAGCAATCGGTGCAGGCATATGCTTGTCCGGGGTTGACATGGGGGATCTCCACTATTGAGGATTCCGGGTTTCTCGACAGCACCACCTCGAGACCTCTTGCAAACCTGCATCTTCTCTTGTCTACTTGACTGCGCATGTCCTTCACGGAGACGTTGAAAGGCGTCGAATTGACTTTGGGAGAAATGCAACAAAAATGCAAGAAAGGGTGCTGCACATCTGTGCTCGCTCCAGCATTGACTTTCTGACAGGTGCACAGCCCAGTCTGGGCTTACACGCCAAAGTCGTCCCATATCCTGGGCGCCGAGACAGTCGACGGTTGGTCAATATCCCAACTGCGTCGTCTTGCGCCAGTTCCAATCATTCCGTATCCTAGATGAAATGTGCCAGCCTGCGACGTAAAGATGTTTTATCCAATAAATACAACTCCTTAGTCGGCGGGTTTACGCATTCAGGCTCGGCTTGTCAACGACGAAACACTTGCTAGAATGCTTCTCACACTTGGCCCTCGTCCTCGCCCATCTTTACCGTTCTCACAACCCATGGAATCCCCCACAATCCCCCAAAAGCCTGCGCCGCCGGCTCCATCCAATCCTGTCCCAGCCATTCGTCATCCATGGTCGCGATGTTGATGTTCACCACCTCGTCCCACCCGCCCGCCGGCTTGTCCATGAACCCGTACATCTCCTCCGTGATTCGGTAAGCCTTGCCAAAGTGCACCCCGCACCGCCCACAAAACACCCGCGCCGCATCCCGCACGCACCCGGAGGCGTGGTAGAACCCGACCCACGTCTCCTCGTCCCCGGACACGGACCCGGGCTTGAACACTTCGGTCGCCGGGCGGAACTCCGCTTGCCGCTTACCGTCCAGCTCTCCTGCCGATTCCCTCGGCGCCAGAGCTGAAAACCCGCCCGTCCCGACGTCCTCTGCCTTCTCGGTCGACTTGACGGGAAGAGCAGAGACGGAGACCATGTACGCGGCGCACTGCGCCATCGCTGGCACCACGCTCCCGAAGCCGCGGCGGCAGCTGGCGCAGTGGCACACGGCAAGTGTCGGCAGGCGCCAGTCCTTCTTCGCCTTCTCGGGTGAGAGGAAGACGGATACTTTCATGTGCGTCGGTGGCCGGTCCGCGAGTGCTGGTACGGATATTTTGTAGCGGATGGCGCTGCAGTTGCAGCCGCCCGTGATCGTGAAGGCGTGGTCTGGTAGGGACGGCATGTTGCTTGTTTGGATAGCTTATGTAGGGTGGTTAACATAGGATACTGGCCCTTTCGCCTGATGAGAGTCACGACCCAAGAGCGTCAGGACGAGGGAGTGTGCCAGACTAAGTTTGGAACTGACTCCCAGCAAGGCATCACAGCTACTTTATATACAGGCTGGTGTCTTCTTCTAGGTCATGTTGGCCCGATTTTCTTTGTTTTGGCCAGTCCAGTCCTGAATAGGTAGAAGACGATGTTCTGACGTGAGCCCTAGGGTCCTGCAGGATGTCTCAGCTTATGGGAGCGCAATTCTACTTGCAGGCTTCTAGTATGTTTCACAAAGTAGGAAGTTATTCCCTTTTCACCCTTCTGTGTGCTTATGTTCCTCCAGTCTTGCTCTGCTGAGCATCAAGGCGTTGGACTCTGGTTTCCGGGCACTTATGTCAAAGGTGTACGGCGTGTTTCCAGTGCTCCCTCATACCTTATTTGGACAGAATCAGGGCGCTTTATCCACTCACATACTACGAGCAGTAACCAATTGGAAGACAGTGAATCAAACTTTGGATTCATGCGGTTGCTTTTGTAAGGACCTAAATTACTCCCCATACAACGCCAGGCCGTGCCATTTGGGTTTGACAGACTCCAAACACACGGACATGCTACTATATAAACAATACCTCCCTGACGGTCATAACAGGGAGGTCCTCCATCAATGATATCATGCTTGCTCAACGATAATCTTTCTGTTGACGTCTCTCGGCTTCCGCTTCCAGCCGGTCTTGAACAGCTTGCCCATGTCAAAGCGGGGAAACGGATGAGCTTCAGTATTGAAAACGACCTTGTCCATGGGCAACAAGTCGTTGGGCGAGAACAAGAGGTAAAAGTACTTTAGAGTTTCAGCCTGTGATTTTTTGCATTAGTCACGCGATGCTTTGTTCTTACGCCCAGTAGCAACTTACCATCCAGAAGCTCTCCAGGTTGTCACGCACAACAGGAGGGATCGTGTTGGCGTTGCTCAAGCTTGTGAATCCGCCGCCTTCCTCAACCGAGGTGTAGTTGACGAAGGACTTGAACATTTCCCATCCCCACTCCCTGTAGATCGGATCCCCGGTGATCCTCCACATGTAGAACAAGCTCTCGACGGACTCGGGTCGCTGCAGATTGTGGACATCGTTGGAGTGAACATTATAGTCCTTCCGCCACTTGGCGTGGGGGTCGGGGTCAAAGTCCTTCGGTGGGTGATGCGAGGCTGTGACGGGCGCCGGAGGGTCGTCAATGTTGAAGTAGGTGATCTCTCCAGCAAGCCCGGTCGCCATCCACTTATACATGCCCCAGCAGGTCTGCATGAGCTCGCGAGCCAGCTTCATGTCTGCGTCCTTCTTTTTGTTCCATGTCGGTAACCGTCTGGCCTCCGCCTCGGGGATGCCACCAGTAGCTCCTAGCGCAATCGTTCCGGGCATGAAGCATACGAGATGGTCCATCTTCGGAGACAGCTCGTTGTTCAGCCCAGAGGGCCGTTCTCCAAGCACAGTGAAGCCAGAGGGCTTGCTATAGGTGATCAAGTGCTTGCGCACGCCCTCGAGGGCTTCATCCCACATCTCTTGGTAGATGGGTTCCTGCTTGTTCGTCTGCAGGTACTGTTTGATCAGGTACTCATAGTACGAGTCACCACGGGAACCGAGGCGAATGTTGTCGCCCCTGAACTCTCCCGTCGTGGCGTAGATGTAGATGGGGACGAGGCCGTCCTGGGCGCCATTGTCGTCGACAACCTGCATGACTCTCTCGACCTTGTCCCAAAAGTCCTTTTCGCCGGTGAGCTTGGCCAGGTACTTGAACTCGAGCTGCAGAGTGGTCGTCTCGGCGGTCGAGGAAGCGCCCCCGTCGGCGTGGGAGACGATGCCCTTGAACTCGGCCAAATTGACGCTCGCGTAAGGAACTCCAGAAGGCGAATCGAAGGCACTCATCAAGCGATCAGCCAGGTCCTTTGCCTTTTCCAAGTACAAATCCTCGCCCGGCGCACCTGGGTCGTCGTCCTTGATCGGGGCCAATTCGGGAAACTCGTTGGACAAGTAGTGCGCGGAGAGGAGACCACCGAGCATCCTGATGGTGGTTTCGAATGTGTTGACATCCTGGTTTTGGTCCCACGTCAAGTCGGTGGCGAGCCATTGCCTCGCGTGGGTTAAGCGCGATGTCAGGTTCATTAGCATCATGGTATCTAGGGCGTCGATGATGATCCAGCCAAGACCCTTGGGGGCCATCTGTCGTCCGGTCTTCGCGATGGGGTGGTACTCGTCGTAGCCTGTTTGCAGATGCGGCTGTTAGTCTTCGAACATAATCGTCGTCGTCAAACAGTCCGGTTGGCAGAGTCAACGTTACCCCATGCGTAGCGCTCGTAAGCATCCCAGCTAAGCTCAAAGGCCTCCACCACTCTCTCTCGCCTCTTGAGCCAGTCCACCTTCTTGCCCGCGGGCTCAGAAGCGCCAAGCCAACCTGTCCATGTCGATGCCGACGCTCGTGCCTTGGAGCCTTCGGAAAAGAAACCGAAGAACCACAGGCCTGAGAAAAGGAGCAGCAGAGTGACCAGGATCGAGCGTTTCCTCCGCCAAAGACGAAACCTCCGGCTCGCGTGATGGGCGTAAGGCTTGTCTTTGTACATTGGCAGTTGTCCCCTGGTGCCGAGCAGGTCTTCGACTCGTCCTTGCACGCCGTGGAAGATACCGGAATTCCCTCCACGGCCGGATCGGCTGTTTACGGCAGAGGCGCCCCAGTAGCGATCTTCAAGGACTCGTTGCGGGTTGTTAAAGGAGGGGACATTCTTGGGCACATTGAAAGCCATGTCGTTCAAGGCAGTGGCTCCGACCTCGACCGCCTTTTCTTTTATGTTCTGGGCAGCTCGGGAGGCCGTCACTTTGAAAACGTTGATGGCTGAGTTCCGGTGTAGGTTGAATGGGTCGCGGACGTTCATATTACGCTCTCAGCATTGTCGCAGTGTGGATACCAGCGGTTTCGAACAAACAAGGACGGGACGAACAGGTCGCCAAACTTCAATAGCGCCTCTGGAAAGGGGCAAGGTGGTGCGGAGTTCAACGCCCAACAAGAAGCAACAAAAATGACGATTGTTGCAACGATGGGACGTAGAATGGCAGAGGGAAAAAAGACCAGGGTAGTATTAGAGCACGCGAGATTCGATGATGTGGACTTTCCGCGTTAACTGGAGCGAGCTGCCAAAGACGTCTGTCTGTCTTCGTTGCCGCGGAGGCGTCGACCGAGCTAAGCCGTGGTGGATCAGTAACCACCACGTTACCCGTCAACCCGCTGTGATGGCTTTCCTTGCACGCGTGTCCACTACCGGGCTGCTCGGGGCGGTGGGAGGAAAGACCGGCACGCTCAGTTGGCTTGGCTATGGCATGGCTGGCAATGGAACCCCCCAGCCTCCACTGAACGCTGAGAAAAGGCCACCTGTAAGTTGTGGATTAACGCGACCGGCCTCATTAGTCGCAGCTCCTAGGAGGTGGCGGATGGTAACCCCAGAAAGAAAGCACCCTGGCACGCTGATACCTAATTCGATGCATGGTCTCTTTCGGATCGGCGCAAAAACATGCCGATCCGCCCGACACCGACCTACCCTAATCGTAAGGAGGGCCGTACACACCTACCTAGGTACCTACCTACATGGGCACTTGCTTACTCTTCCGTCCAGCTGGCTGGTCACAACCTTAATTGCCTCATCTGCTGGCACCCAAGCACCGCCTTAGGCGCTTTGTGACCAGTAGTAATCCGGCCGGGTGGGGCCTGGAAGGGCACAAAGCCGGCGAACATCCGATCATCTCCAAGGAGCAAGGAGCGGGCACCGTCCCGGAAACCCAAGGTTTGCCGCTTCAAGATCTCCGAATTCGACTCGGTGCAACTCCCGTATCGGCCTTTTTAGAGCCCACAGTCAAAAGGCGCGTATTGCCAAGACGCCCACCATACATCGCAGCGAGAGATCGATTTGGAATAAGGCGAATGAGTCACACAGGGATTCAACAAGATCCGCATCTCCACACAATCATACAAGTTATTGATCGCAGGTGTCGTATTCATACGCTGGGACTCTTTCTCAACAACGAAATCGCGTACAGCGCATTCACTACACACGGCCATTATCAGCATCATGTCATTCAAGGACTTCCCGTTCTTGACCCCGGACGAGTTTTCCGAGGTGTGTCATCACTTCGATAGCCAATATTGCCGTGCTACCCTGGGTCCATTACGGCAACGGTTCAAGTTGAGACTATGCACCGCACTCGACACATCGTTTGCGTCTGGCGTTGAATACACAACGTACTTGCAAGTCATCCGGCCGCTTGAGGCCACGCTGGATTGTGGGGATCTCTCCTCGGTTTTGGACAAGTTTTCTTTCGCAGAAGGCAGTTCGGAAGGAGACGCACTTGGGCTGGGCGATGAGGCCATGATTGATGCAGAGGAATCTGACGAGGTAAAGTCCTCGAGCTTGTCTTTTCGTGGCCAGCTGCCTGACCGGGTGACACCATAGGCTGCTCTCTCCAAACCCCTGGCACCGGACTCCGGATACGTCGTCTATGAAGTGCACCTACATCCCACGTATCGCATGCCCTGTTTATGGTTTACATTACACGGGCTGCCAGCCGATGAGCCGGCCTTCAATCTCGACACTGTTTTTCGACGGCTGGTGCCCGATCAGTTCAAGGATGCCCTGCGGAGGACAGGCGGCATCGGAGGCATCTCTGGCGACGTAAGTGCCCATCAGCTGTAGACAGGTCAATTACAACTTCTGAAAGAGACCATCTGCAGGTCTGTACTAACACATAAGGCTGCAGCACCACCCCCTCACGGGACTACCCTCGTTTTTCATCCACCCATGCCTTCTTGGGGACGCCATGTCGGGCTTCAACTGTTCCAGGGAACAGTATATGATGCTATGGCTCGGCCTGGTCGGCGGATGCGTGGGGCTCTGGGTGCCTAAAGAGATGGCCATGGAGTCGACCGGCTGAAGCACGCCGCCCTTGGCCTCCCGTCATCTCGCCACTGAATGAACTCGTTCGCAAGACCCTCAAGAGGATCAGTCGTCGTCGCTGTCCTCCTCCATGGCAACGTCACTGTCCTCGTCTTCTTCCTCGTCCCTCGTCCGCTTCTGACCCCTCGCGTCGGATGCCTGCGCATCACTCATGGGCTGGTCACCGCCGGCCGAGGGCTTTGCCAGGGCGGTGCCTGGAGCAGCGCCAGATGCCGCGCCTGGTGCCGGAGCGTTAAAGATACTCTTCTGGAGGTCCGTCACTTCGGTGCTAGAAGCCCCAGCTGTCATGTTCGGCATCTTGTATGTGCCGTCCAGCTTGGCAACGAAGTCGGACTTTGACTTGGCGTACTGGATAGTCTGTTCACTCGGTCGGTCAGCAATCGCCGTTTGTGGTCCAGCATTCTTGGGGGGACGCGTACCAAAGGACGGCCAAGGAACTCGAAGCCCTCGAGAGAGCGCATGGCTTGGGTCGCTGTTTGTACATCGCGGAAGGTGATGTGCGCTTGCCCTCGCATCTTCATCGTCTTCATGGCGACGATATCGAGAACGGGCCCGTACGTCGAGAAAAGCAGGTAGAGTTCGGTTCGCAGGTCTTGTTTCTGGATCTTGTTGGAAGGCAAGTTCGTAACATAGAGTCTATAGACATCAGAAGATGCTCCGGTAACGCGATAATCTCCACTCACGTCTGGTTCGGGGGAATGGTCGTGACTTTGGCTGGTAGTGATGCGTTAGGCGCAAGGCCACGAGGGGGAGCGACAGCCGCCATTGTGCAATTGCGGGCGCGAGAAGCGTGGGTGAGAGTATCAACGATCTTGTGGTATACCGTTGGAATCTGCAAAATTGACTCGGTTTCGTGGTGGTGTCGGGGTGGCGCGCCACGGTTCTATCGTGTTACAATCGCCGCGGTCAGAATTTTTGTATTGAATATCCTGTCACCGCAGTTTAGTTGCCTGAGCCTATGGGGAGCTTCGTCGCTAGCGCCGACGCTCTGCACTGCATCGAGGGCACGCCCCATGGGTGTGACCTTAATGCCTAAGAACGCACAAGCTGCCATGCTGCCCTTTCGAAGCACTATTACGGATACCTAGATACACTACGTAACCCCCTCCCCCCATCAGCCCCACCACGGTGCACCACCCTCTCAGGTAGTACGCACTGCGTACTACGCAGTAAGGTATGCAATGCATGCACCTTGCGTATGTACTGCCTGGGGTTGGTACCTTGCCTTGCTTGGACACCAGCATCTCCTAACACTGCCCTAAGAGTCGTAACTTCGTCTTCCGACATAACCACCATTTCCACCTCTGCTCCCTCCAGTCAACAGACCCGAACCGAACGAAAGAGTGATAGTAGAGAGCTATACTCCTATCACGAAATACTCCCTCAACATGGCGGCTCCCCAGGTTCACCACCTCTTCCACGCTCCCATCGCAGACCACTCGTTCTCTGCCGACCGTCAGACGTTGGCCATCGCCCGCGACTCGACCATTGAGCTCTATGAAGAAGCCGGCAGCGCCTTTAAGCTTAAGGACGAGCTCAAGGGCCACGACAAGACCGTCACGAGCGTAGATATTGCTCCCAACAGCGGCCGCATTGTATCCTGCTCTCAAGGTACGTCAATGCGTGCAGCCGACCAGGTGAGAACAGCACCTGACTTGTCACGATAGACCGCAACGCCCTCGTCTGGGAACCCTCTCCGACCGGATACAAACCTACTCTTGTCCTCCTTCGCATCAGTCGCGCCGCAACCTTTGTGCGATGGTCTCCCTCCGAAACCAAGTTCGCGGTCGGCTCGGGCGACCGTGTCATTGCCGTCTGCTACTTCGAGGAAGAAAACGACTGGTGGGTGTCGAAGCACTTGAAGAAGCCCATCCGAAGCACCATTACATCTGTCGCATGGCACCCCAACTCCGTTCTTCTCGCTGCCGGATCGACCGACGCCCACGCTCGTGTTCTGTCCAGCTTCATCAAGGGAGTCGATGCCCGCCCGGAGCCTACTGCTTGGGGTGAACGCTTGCCGTTCAATACCATCTGCGGAGAATACCTTAACAACTCTGCCGGCTGGGTGCACTCCGTTTCGTTCTCACCCAGCGGAAACGCTCTGGCCTTTGCTGCCCACGACAGTAGCATCACCGTCGTGTACCCTAGCGCACCTGAACAGCCTCCCCGTGCCGTTGTCACCATTACCACCCAGCTCCTTCCCTTCATGAGCCTTCTCTGGAGCTCGGAGGACGAGATTATCGCTGCAGGCTACGATTGTGAGGCTTTCCGGTTCAAGGGTGGTGAGGACGGCTGGAGCCTGGCAGGCACACTCGAGTCCAAGGGCCGCCCTGGCCTCAGCGACGCCCGTGAGGAGTCTGCCCTGAACATGTTTAGGCAGATGGATCTCAAGGGTAAGGTCAAGGATGACACTCAGCTCAAGACGGTCCACCAGAACACCATCTCCACCCTTCGTCCTTATGAGTCGTCAGGCGGCAACCTCACAAAGTTCTCATGTAAGTCTCCCAACCTTTGTTATGTTGACCTTCAAAGCTGACTAGACATGAAGCAAGCGGCGTTGACGGAAGAATTGTCATTTGGAGCACTTAGGTTTACCTTTCATAGCGAGCTTTCAATGCAATACCACAATGTCTTACACTTCCACTTCTTGGTCCTGAATCTGTAATTCGTCAGAGTCTAATACACTGGCTTCTGGGCGATTCTTTCTTCGGAGAGCTCGGGCGAAGGCTTTTGATAATTCATCATTTACTTATAGATTGCCCGCGAAACCTCAGCTTAGATTGCGGTCCTCACATCAACCGCTGCGTCGCCGAGCTGTACGTCAACATGGAGCACCCTGATTCCCATCACTCGCCCAGCGGGTTCATCTACGATCTCCCCATCAGACAACAGAGCACTAATGCCGATGCCACGGACACATCGACCGAGCCACCACCCGCACTACGACCTTTCCATGTGCAACCACCTTGCTGTTCGTCAGCAGCCTGGCCTGTTGTGGGGAGACGAAGTTCCCGTGCCAGCTCATTTGTGCCGATGGTTGTGCGCGTTCCCGTTTCAGACCCTTCGGCCATCGAGCAAGAGCTCGCCACCGCGGATGATAGGGAGACTAGCCCTATGGACACCGAGGTTGCCCCAGAAACTCGGCAATCGGAACGGTCAATGTCGATGATAGCTGTTTCAGTAAGTCCTCCCACTGGGTATACGATGTTTCCGGCGTCTATAGTCACCCATCACATCACGGCCGCAGCTGCACAATGGTAACTAAAAAAAAAAAAAAAACCCAGGACGAAAATGTGGAAAACACATGTTCGCCGCAAGGTAGGCAGACTCTATCATACGAGACAAAGGTCAACCGCGTCCATGAACTCTGCCTCCAAGCAACACGGAGATATCTCGAAGAACGACGGACGAATCTACGGATGCGAGTGGCGCCAACTACGATGTACCATTTCAGCATGCGTCGTCAATCGCCGAGAGCTTCGTTCCGTTTTGCTCCATATACCAATTCCCGCCAAAGTATTGGAAATTTGCCCACCACGGCTTCGGAGATGATAGCCGGGGTTGCAGAGGCCTCGACCGAGTCACTGGTCGTCAATATCGGTAGAATCTGCGACGGGATCTGGGCGCAGGCCCAGAGGGACAGACTTTATGTCCCAGGCACAGAGAAGGCTGCAGTGGTAAACATGAGGCACTTGCTGGACTGGGCCGACACAGTTGCCAGCACCCCACGAAGTTGGGCACACATTCGGCTAGTTTCTACGCATGGGAAGAGCCTGTGTGCATGGTTGGGCGACTTTGATGGAAGAGGCGAGATCGACCGGTTGGGTTTGTAGGTTAATGTGGGTGGGCGTTTGGATATCGGTCATAATCCAAAAATTGTGTGGGTGAGCTCTGTTTCTGTCGAGCTGCAAACCATCATGTTTAGCCTGCCCCTAGGGCCACATCCGTAGCCTTGAATGGGAAACTTTGGCAAGCTCTGTTACAAGATCAGAATCGAAGAGATTATTCGATGGGATTTCTTGCTCGACTTTTCTTTTGCATTGTGCCAGTCTCCTCTTGAGATGTTGCGGTGTGCTAAGGCCAAATGCATCTTATCTACCAACACAACCTTACACATGAGTAGAGGCAATATAGGTCGAACTAGAATCGTCTCGGCCAGTTGACTCGAGCCAGTCTCCTTTTTTTTGAACCAAATACTTTGCAAATGTCGCTCCGTACGTCTTATATCAAGGCCAAATCTACAGAGTACCGGTAGGCATGGCATGGCAGATGCGGTTACCATACCTTGGGTAGGGAGACAGTGACATCTGCTAGCAAAGGAGGTGCACACGCCTCTCCCAGGTTCTCCAACCCAAACGTCTACCCGCTGATCTAACCCAGCTGAACCACCCCACCAACGACACTGTGACATCCACTTCAGCCCGGCACTAGTTACGTTACGTATGAAATTCTGGCCTCCAACTCAACTCTGTGACGCTTGCCGGGGCTTTGAACATCCATTTCCTTCCAACACCAACACTGCAACCACGTAGTCCTGTCGCTTCTCTTGAGCAGAGGACGTTACCGTCATTGCCTGTGAAGATCCCACCGGCGCTTTTTTTGTAGGTTGGATTTTGTTGATTTCCAGTTGTCATTTGTTGGACTCCCTTCTTGGTTCTCTCTCCACAGTTGGCCCGGTATGGCTCAGATTACTCACCGCATATAGACGACCCGCCACCTTTTGCCTGCAAAGACCCCGCCAGAGCTCTCTGCGCAAGACACATTGCTTGCGATTACCAACAACCTCCACCGTACTTGCTGTCCCTACACACCCGCGCCTTATTTTCCACCCTTAACCGACCACTTATCGAAGCTTTGTCACAGAGATGTGCGGATAGCCATGATCAAGGCGTCATAATGGAACCTACCATGTCAACTCAAGAGCGCCAGCTCTGCGAGTTTCTCAGAGAACTTCCTGCAAGATGGAACTACGAGTACGACGACCAAGCACACCATGACCTGCTCGACAGCCTCTTCTGGTCGTTGGCAGGAGGCGAGCGCTACATGCCCCTCTTCTTCCCCTCTGGCCGACCTTCCCACAACCACAAGCTCCACGATGCCCAGGGCGCAGTCGAAGGCGCCGAGTACACCGAAGCCGCCCGAGGCAAGCGATGCGGTCACATCTTCAAGCCCGGAGAAGCCTCCTACTCCTGCCGAACCTGCAGTACTGACGACACGTGCGTTCTGTGCATGCGATGCTTCGACTCGACCGACCACGCCGGTCACATGGTTCGCATCAGCATCTCGGTCGGTAATAGTGGTTGCTGCGACTGTGGCGATGACGAGGCCTGGCGACTTCCCATGTTCTGTACGATTCACTCCGAGACGGATCCGGAAAAAGGCGAGGGCAAGGGAAAGGAACCGGCTGGTCTCCCTGAAGACCTGGTACAGAACATGCAGATGACGATTGGCCGCGTCTTCGACTACATCTGCGATGTTATATCGTGCTCACCGGAACAGTTACGACAGGGCAAGACCGCAGACTCGATCCAAGCCGACGAAGAGCTCTCGCGCCTGTCTCCAGACATCTACGGAGAGGGCCCCTCTGGACATCCCGAATATGCGCTGGTTCTCTGGAACGACGAGAAGCACACGATGGAGGATGTACAGAACCAGATCGCGCGGGCTTGCAGGACAACAGAGGCCCAGGCCTTGCAGCGCGCTACAGAAACAGACCTTATCGGCCGCAGCATCCTAAAGCGTCTCGACGATCTAGACGCCCTGCTTGAGATGGCCACCAAACTGGAGCACATCAAGGTCACTGTTACCATCAGGTCATCGCGCGACACGTTCCGCGAACAAATGTGCGGGGCCATGATTGAGTGGCTCAGCGACATTGCGGGATGCAGCGTCGGGACAGACCATACCATCTTGCGAAACACTGTTTGCCAGGAAATGATGAAGCCATGGCGGAAGGGCAGCCCCGGAAGCCACGCCATCGTGGGCAAGGACGGCATCTACGACGAAGAGAAATTTCTGAGAAACCTCGAGCACTCCCAGTCTTTCACCCAACATGTCCTGCTGCAGGTGCAGCGCATTGCGACTCAACAGCAAGCCCGGGCCGCAGACAGCGACGATGAGGATATCGACATGGGCAGGGGAAATGGCACTCCTGACAGTGATGCGGGAGACGACGACGATGACGACGAGATTGACGATGACGATATTATGATGGTTGACGTTCGAGCCGACGGGCCCGGAGACATCGGCCTCGAGTGGCGTGGCAACGATCAAGCTTTGGAAGAAGATGAAGCTACGATGGCCGGTTACCCGCCGCCTCCGCCCCCACCTGCAGCTGCGCGGCGGGCCACCAGGGATCGCGACCTGACACCCTCCGATTCCGACACGGCCGAACCGCTGATTGCACCTGCCATCTATGCCAAAGCTAACCTGGAAATTCCCAAAACGCCTGGACAGGGTGAGAAGGCGCCATCACCGAAGCCCGGCAGGTACTGGCTTGAGACTCCTCCAGGTTACATGAACCGAGAGAACGTCCCCCCCGCGGAGGATGTCTTCCAACGGGTCCGTCTCGATTGGCTCATTCTCTTCGACCTTCGCATGTGGAAGAAGGTTCGCAACGACCTCCGCTCTCTCTACATATCGACTGTTGTCTCGATACCCGAATTCAAGCGCATCCTAGGTCTTCGTTTTGCCGGATTGTACACGACGTTGGCTCAACTATACTTGATTGGGGACCGAGAGCCTGACCATTCCATCATCAACTTATCGCTGCAGATGCTCACAACGCCATCCATCACCGCAGAAATCGTTGAACGGGGTAACTTCATGACGAGCCTGCTCGCCATCTTCTATACGTTCCTCACAACGAGACAAGTGGGCTACCCATGGGATGTCTCGTCAAATGCAGTCCTTGCCTTTGATTCCGGCTCGGTGACGAACCGCCGCATGTACCACTTCTATCTGGATTTGAAGTACCTCTTCGGCTCTCCACAGGTTCAGGAGAAGCTTCGGACTGAGGAACGATACCTTTTACAGTTCCTCGACCTGGTCAAGTTGCATCAAGGCATCGGACCCAATGTCCGTGCTGTCGGGGAACACGTTGAATATGAAACAGACAGCTGGATAACTGCCTCGCTGGTGACGCGCGAAATCAACAGGCTTGCCAGGCAACTTGCCGACGCTTACAGGAACGTGCCAGATAACGAGGCTCACTTCGTCGCTCAGGCGATCAGATTGACAGCCAAGGCTGTCATTCTTCATTCTGTTGGCGCCGAACGTCATCGCTTCAAGCAGGCCGAGATCAAAGAAGAGATCAAGTTCAAGACCCTGGGCGATTTCGAGTTCGACAACGAGTCGGCACGGTACGACGTCGTCAAGTTTACGGTCGAAGAAGACCCCATTAGCTTCCATCATGCTCTGCACTACACCCTTTCATGGCTGATTGAGTGCGGAAAGTCTCTCCCTGCCTCAAGCATGAAAGCCCTCTTGAGCTTTACTACGCAAGACTTGAAGCTGCCCCCGCGCTCTATGGGTCGCAAGGTTATGCCACGACGGGATAACTCCCCAGAGGACAACCTCATGGCTGCGTTTGACTATCCCCTGAGGGTCTGCGCTTGGCTGGCGCAAATCAAGGCGAACATGTGGGTGCGCAACGGCATCAGTCTGCGGCACCAGGCGGCGACGTATCGCGGAGTCAGCCAAAGAGATGTGTCCCATCACCGCGACATATTTCTCCTCCAAACCGCAATGGTCATCGCCGATCCCAGTCGCGTCCTCGCGTCCATAATTGATCGGTTCGGCATGGAGAAGTGGGTTAAGGGAATATTCGAGCAGAAGTCTACCGCGCAAGACGATGCGCAGCATCTGGATGTCGTTGAGGACATGATTCACCTCCTGATCGTGCTTCTCAGCGACCGCACCTCGCTGATTGCCTCCGAGGATGAACCCAACGCCAACGTTCTCGCCATCCGTCGCGACCTCACCCACATCCTATGCTTCAAGCCCCTCTCCTTCAACGAAATCAGCAACAAGTTGCCTGAGAAGTGGCAGGAGCAGGAGGACTTCCATCGTGTGCTTGACGAAATGGCATCGTTCAAACCTCCCGAGGGTGTCTCAGACGTCGGCACATTTGAGCTGCGGCCTGAATTTGTTGAGCATATCGACCCTTACATCGCCCACTATAACAAGAACCAGCGAGAGGAGTCTGAGCTGGCATATCGGAAGAAGATGGCCATCAAGACTGGCAAGCCATTGGAGGAGATCGTATACGAGCCCAAGCTTCGGCCGATCCCTTCGGGCCTCTTCAAAGATCTGGCCGCGTTCACCAACACCGGCATGTTCGGCCAGATCATCTACTACTCACTGTTGTATCCACTCGTTGCGGCTAGGCTCACGCCAAGCGTGCCTACGACTCGGATCGAAACCTTCCTCCAGGTCGTCCTCCACCTCATCCTTATCGCGATCTCCGAGGACAAGGCGGACGAGGGTGACATGACGGAGGAGTCGCTCAATTCGTTTGTGCTTATCGCTCTAACGCGAACCGCTCGAAGCAACTTCATGCAAGAAGCGCCAAATGCGAAGACCATCGTTGCGTTGCTCGACATGATGTCTACCAAAGAGGAGTTCAAGGCATGTCACCCCAAGATTGGCCTTATCCTCAAGAGAATGCGGCAAAAGCGGCCGCGCAACTTTGAGAATGCCTACGCGCGGCTTGGTGTCTCCGTCGACCGCATTGATACTGCCTCTCCCGCGAACAACTCCGCAGAGGAGGAACGAGAACGCAAGAAGAAGGCAGCGCTGAGCCGGCAGGCAAAGGTCATGGCCCAATTCCAGCAGCAGCAGAAGAGTTTCTTGGAAAACCAGGGCAACATTGACTGGGGCTCTGATCTCGAGGACGATGAGGAGGCGGAGCAGACCGGTGATCGAAAGAATAATTGGAAGTATCCGACGGGCACCTGCATTCTGTGCCAGGAGGATACGGACGACCGTCGCCTCTACGGGACATTTGCTCTCTTCAACGAGAGCCACATCCTCCGACAGACGGATCTGCAGGACCCTGACTTCGTGCGGGAAGCCTTCCACACGCCCTCGAGCCTGGATCGATCTGCAGAGGACATTCGTCCCTTTGGCGTCGCCCACGAGAACCGGCAAGAAGTCACAAAGGTCAACGCCAAGGGCGAGAAGTTTGTTTCTGAGCGTCAGACGATAGGTAAGGGCTTCCCATCGAACCTCTCCCGCCCCGGGCCTGTCTCGACCGGCTGTGGCCACATGATGCACTACAGCTGCTTCGAGATGTACTTTGACGCGACCAACCGGCGACACCATCATCAAATTGCAAGGCATCACCCAGAAAACCTTCGAAGACAGGAGTTCGTCTGCCCTCTGTGCAAGGCTCTTGGCAACGCATTCTTGCCCATCATCTGGAAGGGCCAGGAGGAATGTTTCCCCGGCCCCCTTCAGTCCCAGCGCCTTTTCGCAGATTTCCTCGATACTCAGATGAGATCGGGCTACTACATCCTTGGTGCAAACCGTCCACCTGACGAGGTCCAGTCATCGTTTGCCAGCTACACGGCAGGGCAAGTCACCGGCGCGTTAGCAGAGAAGGCGCCTCAACTGTTGGAGGAAGCCTGGACAGCCGACGAGTCTGGTTCTGACTCTGTGGTCACCAACACACCTCTGACGTCTCTATTCCCCACGGCCAGCACGCCAGTCACCAACCGGAGGTCTGTACAGAGTGATGGTTCCACCCTCATGGGGGAGCTGGCTAGGGTATACCGTCGTCTTCGCGATACTGTGCGGTCTAATGGATTCAAGACACGCCATGAAAAACGGAGCATTGAGCTGCGAGAGAGGAACGAGCTTTGCCACAGTGACGTTCTGTCAAAGCTGGTTGGTTATTCGGTCTCGGCTGTAGAGATCCAGCAGCGCGGCACTGAGGCCCAGTACGGCATGACGCTCTTGGAAAAGATCCCTGAACAGAGCTTGACACATCTGCGCATTCTGGCAGAGACTGCGACTGCGTACAGGGCTGTTGGCGGTCTCAAGGCTGGCGGTGATAACTGGATCGAGGAAGAGTTCCGGCTGGACAGCGAGCGCCAACACGTCCAGCTCTTTGTTTCACAATACTTCGGACAAGAGACAGAGCATGCCAGACGACCTGTCGACGCCTACTCGCCATTGCTCAGCGAGGATGCCTTCATCTTCCTCACTGAGTGCGTCTTTGGCCTTATTCCCGCACAGAATTTCGACGTCACGCACATTCTGAGACTGTGTTATCTCGCAGAGATTGTCAAGGCCGTTTACCACATGGGGCGCAACATCCCGGTGTCCACATGGATTAGCCATCTCCTCAACAGAGAGACCCAGGACCCTGCATTGAAGAACTTTGCCGAGTTCTGCCTTGCCATCACCAAGGTTGGCATGGAAATCAACGTGTCCCACCGCGAAATGCCGGCAGATCTAGGTGACAACCGGGGATTCGGACAACCGGAGCTGGATAACCTAGAGGGCCACTACACTTTCGTGAAGAAGTACGCTTTGACGTTCCTCAGGAAGAGCGTCGTTCTTCTCTATGTTAAATACGGCATAGACTTCAACAGTCACGTCTCCCCTCAGCCGGACGCGGACGAACTAGACCGCCTTACCGAAGCCCTCCGAATTCCGACATTTGACGAGATGTGTGCCTCGATCACTGACCTTGGGCCTACTTGCGGCTGGCCAGCTTCGACCACGAGCCTGGTCAGTGGCTGGGTTCGACACCAGATCATGTGGCCTGGTGACGACACGGACGAGCTCCCCCCTTCTGCGCTCCTCAGCCACCCGGGCATTTTCGAGTTGGTCGGACTGCCGAAGAACTACGACGCACTCATCGAGGAAGCCACCCGACGCAGGTGCCCAACGACAGGCAAAGATGTCTCGGATCCCATGATTTGCCTGCTCTGTGGAGATGTCTTCTGTGGCCAGGCTGTATGCTGTCTCAAGGAGGAGACATCGCCTGGCGATCGCGAGCCCCAGAGGATCGGCGGCTCGCAGCAACACATGCGAAAGTAAGTTGAAACAAATACCAATAATCACACCCCCCTTTTTTTAAAAAAAAACACATATACATGATATTGACATTTTCGCGTTTAGGTGCCAGGGCAACATTGGCTTGTTCCTCAACATCCGCAAGTGTTGCATCTTTTACCTTTTCCGGTTATCGGGCTCCTTCAGCAGCGCGCCCTACATTGACAAGTACGGCGAGACGGACCTGGGTCTGCGCCACGGGCGCCAGCTGTTCCTGAACCAGAAACGCTACGACTCCATGCTGAGAAACACGTTCCTCAGCCACGGTATCCCAAGCTTTATCAGCCGTAAGCTGGAGGCAGAGATCAACAACGGCGGCTGGGAGACGATTTGAACTTGGCTGACGGGGAGGACTGACCGGGTTGGGTCGACGACGACAGGGGAGGGTGTGGGTAGGCTTCCTCCCGACGTGAGCTGCCCGACTGCCATATGGAGCGGAGTAGATATTACATCTGCTTGCCATTGCTTTTTTTTCTTTTCTTTTAATTGCCAGAACACACTCAATCATTGGAGAGCGGGGGCAGAAGAAAGGAGTTTTCAGCAGGTCAGCAAGAATGTTTTGAGTACCTAAACAATGAAGAAGAAGCTCTTATAAAGGTAGAACCATATCCCACATAGACATTTCTGTAGTCTTATCTGGTATGCTCAACAAGGCTCCTATGTGTGTGTTTCTTTTCTTCCACTCTCCTTTCTTTCTGCGGTCCAAAAAGTCCCCGCCGTTCCCTACGTGCGTACGTAGTTTGGTATCAAATCCCCGGAATGTTAGTTCCCCTCTCCGCTCTCTCCCCCCGAGGTAGCTTTCTTTAGTCTATATCGCTTCCGTTGCCACCTCGAGTCTTCCCCCCTTGCGCGGTATGCTACCTATGTTCCGGCCATGTCAACGTCCTCTTCCTGTTTTATCGGCAGCTCGACATTGTCGACATCGTCCTTGTCTTTTTTCTCTTCTTCTTCTTCTTCCTCCGCCGCATCGGTCGCATGACCGTTCGTCGCTGGCGCCGTGGTCTCCGCCGCTGTCTCTGCCGCGGTGGCCGCGCCGACGAGGTCGCCGCCGCCGCCGCCGCCACCACTGCCGTCCTCGGCCCCGTCCGACACTCTCTTGTATCGCCGAATCGTCCCGTCCTGCCCCGCGCTGACCATGACGTCGCCGTGGACGTCGACCCAGAAGCACACGCTACCGCCCCGCTTGCCGCTGTTGGCGTGGCCCTTCTTGGAGTGGGCGGGGATCCGCTGGACGACTTCCTTTGTGACGACGTCCCACAGAACAATTTCGCCGTCCTCGCTGGCCGAGGCGACAAAGGCGCCCTCGCCCGGGACGATACCGAAGCAGCCGCCGATGGCGAAGCGGCTGTTGACGTGGCCCTGGTACGTCTTCTTCACGGAGCCGGCGACGTAGTCCCACAGGCGGATGCTGTTGTCGAGGTTGAAGGCGAGGACGAAGCGGCCGTTGGGCGCGAAGCAGACGGACGTCACGGCCGGGTTGTCTTCGTGGACGAGGGTGCGGAGACACTGGCCCGTGTAGGTGTCCCAGATGCGGCTGTTACGAGGAAATGAATGTTTGGGTCAGCGAATCGTCGAGAGGAAAGAGGGGAGGGGAGAGGCATGCGGAAAATTAAAACTCACATCAGACCATCGGTCGAGCAGCTCACGACCAAGGTGCCGTCGCCGCAAAAGTCGATGCCGCCGACCGGGTCGCTGTGCGCCGGCAGGCTGCGCATCAACCTCCCAGCTCTCACGTCCCACAGGAAGACGGCCTCATCGTAGGACCCGGACGCGAGGATGTTACCCTTGGGCGAGAAGGCGAGACACATGACATAGTTGTGGTGGCCCCGCAGCGGCGGCATCGGGCGAGCCGAGGGCGGCGCGGCTCCGTCCTTGGCCAGGGCGCCGACCCCCTTGGCCGTCGACTTGGGTCGCCCCGTGACGCGGTCCCAGAGGCGGATCGCCTTGTCGTCGGACCCAGACGCCAGCGTGCCGCTGTCAGGGCTCCAGGCCACGCAGCTCACACCTGCCATGTGACCCACCAGAGTATCCATGTGTTCGCCCGTCGCGGCGTCCCACAGCTTGATTGTTCCGTCGGCCGAGGCGCTCGCGATCCATCTCCCGTCAGGGGATATGCGCACCTGCGATACGGGCTTCCCCGCATGCCCGCTCATGACCTGCTGCTCCTCGAACCGCGGCCGCACGGGGCCCTTCTTCGTCGGGGCGGGGGTGACAGGCGTCGTCGCCGTAGCGCCCATGTCCACGCCGTCGCCATCACCGTTCGTGGACGAGAGCCGTAGCCGGCGGTTGACGGCGCCGGAGAGGCTGCGCGGGGAGCTGCCTCCTGATGTGGAGGCCGGCGACTGCGATCGCGTGTGGGATTCGCTGCGGGAGCGGGAGGGCGAGGCAGTGGGAGATCTGGGCGTTCGGGTGCGCGAGCGGGAGGGAGATCGGGATCTTGACTGTGAGCGGGTGCGGGAGTAGGAGGAACGAGAGTAGTACGCTTCGTTGAGCTCGTCGTCGCTGGGGCTCCTGCTGGGCGTCATGCTAGGACGGCTGCGGTGGGTGGCCAGGCGGCGGGATTTGGTTGTGCGTTTCGCCGTCGCCATCTTCGCCCCGCTAGCTGCGGAGGCGGCCGTCTTGCCGATTGAGATCACGGCGGGGGAGTTGAGCTCGTCGGGGGAGCTGGATCGTGGAGTCGCGGTCGTGCTGTGTTCAAGCACCTTGCGACGTTTAGGGGGCGGTTCGTGGAGGGCCGTCGCGACTGCTGAGGAATCGGGGCCAGACATTTTGCGCTTTTCTCTCAAAAGAAGAACTAGAATGAGGCGTCGTTGTAGTAAGCTATTCTTGAGAGGCCCGTCGGATACCAAGGACGTTGTAAGTTCTAGGTCGGCGTGCGAACCCCCGGACGAGGCTGAACAGAAAAGGACAAAAAAAGAGAGGGAAGGAGAGGATGGGAAAGCGAAAGTCGACTTTAGGACCCCCAGATACAGGGGGGGTGGTGCTTCTTGACGTCTGGTGCTTTGCCTTTCAGCCTCGTTCCGCTGCACGGATTGCCGTATGGCCCCTGTCCTACCAGCTGGGGGGGAGACGCTAAGATAGGAGGATAAACGCGTTTTGGAGGGTCTATACTAGAGCTGCCGGTTGGTCAATGGGGATACATGTGGGTCTGGTTCTATTAAGCTGTAAAATTAAACTGGGCTCTCTGCAACCGCTCCCCCCGGTTTGCCGGCAGTAGAAGTAAAAAGCAAACGGAGGACGTAACGTCACCGAGTTCAAGCCGCGCCCCGAGGGCTATGTGCGCTTTCTCATCTCATCTCATGAGTGTGTACCCGCGCTCCAATGCAGCCTGTTACGCTTGCTCTTGATGGAAAGACCGTTCGATAGGCTGGCAGTCGGCGACTTGGAGTCTACATCTTCGCCCCTATTCTTTGTCCGGAAGCTTCGGCGCAAAAAAGAATTTGTCCCATTCATCCATCTTACACGAACGCTTAGTCTCGACTTGGTATAAGACCGGCCAAACCCTGGATCTTATTGGCCGACACCACCAACACCTTTTTGTACACTGTCTGTTGCCTTCATCTCGTCAACATTCTTGTCCTCGCGTCATTGTTTCCCTTCCAATACCCGGTGTTTCGTAATCACCAACCTGAAATCCCCCCACCATCTTCCTCCCATCACCGGAGAAAAGCATGGAGAATCCCCCCCTCCCAGCCGATCTCCACCTCCTGACCCTCAACTGCTGGGGTCTCAAGTACATCTCCAAGCTCCGCCCCGAGCGCCTCGCGGAGATCGGCCGCCGCATCGCCTCCAGCCCGGACCCGCCCCATGTCGTCGCCCTCCAGGAGTGCTGGGTGACGGCCGACTACGAGGCCATCCGCGCCGAGACCCGCCGCGTTCTCCCGTATGGCAAGTTCTACTACTCGGGCCCTTTTGGCGGCGGCCTCGCCATCCTCTCCCGCTGGCCCCTCGAGGAGAGCTCCATGATCCGGTACCCCCTCAACGGGCGGCCCACGGCCTTCTGGCGCGGCGACTGGTACGTCGGCAAGGGCGTCGCGTGCGCGCGCATCCGCGTCCGCCTCGCCGACCCGTCCTCCCCCCGCCCGGGGGCCGCCACTGAGCACACCCTCAGCGTCTTCAACACCCACACCCACGCTCCCTACACCGAGAACCGGCCCGGCGACACCTACCTCGCCCACCGCCTCGCCCAGTCCTGGGAGATGGCCAAGCTCCTCCGGGGAGCCGCCGAGCGCGGCCACCTCGCCCTCGCCATGGGCGACTTCAACATGCGGCCCCTGAGCCTCCCGTACCGCATCGTCACTGCCCACGCCCCCGTCCGCGATGCCTGGCGCGCGCTGCACCCGGACTCGTCCCTCGGCGCCGTCGACGACCCCTTGGAGACGGCCCGCGGCCGGCCCGTCCCGACGGCGGACTTCAACCTTGAGGAAAACGGCGCCACGTCGGACCACGCGTACAACACCTGGCGCTGGCCCAAGGAGCAGCAGAAGAATCTGGGAAAGGGGAGAGAGAAGGTTGCCGTGTCGCCGGACGCGCCGGACAGGAAGGGGAAGCGTCTGGATTACATCTTCTTCAGCAGCGCCCCGTCCCGAGACGGCGAGGGCGGGGAATGGGTCGTGCGCAGTGCGCGAGTGGGTATGGTCGATCCGCACTCTACGTTAGGCTGCTCCCTGAGTGACCATTATTCCGTGGAGGCGACACTGTCGTATCGTCACTCCCGTCGTGCGCCCGGCGATGACACCGCCCCCGAGAAGACGCCCCGCCTCCAAGATGCATTAGGCAGCTCTCAGCGGGGGTCCCTCTTGTCCGTCAACTCGGCCGAAAGCGCATTCCTCCCCATACCAGTATACGACGATATTCTCTCCGAGATACGACGCTATGCCCGTCGGGAAGAGAGTCAGCGGAGCTGGCGCGCAATGCACTTCTTCGCCTGGCTCGCCGTGTCAATAGCATGTCTCATCGCCGTCTGGTTCAGCCCACACAACGCTGTTGCCTTCATCCTCATGCTTCTGAGCAGTCTCGGTTTGGTCGCCGGAGCCGTGGACGGCCTCATGTCACTCCTCTTCTTCAACTCGGAGCTCAGGGCCTTGAAGGAGTTTGAGTGGGAAGTCGCCAATGCCAGAGACATAGCGAGCCGTGCTTCTGGGGAGGTGGAGAGGGGGAAATCCTCTTGAAACCAACCCGGAACATACGGCTTGATGCAACGAAAGGTTTCTGTGGTGACGACTGGTTAGTCGTGGAGCGTGATCTCGACTCCTTTGGTGACCTCCCATATACGTTAATTGAAAGCAGTCAACAGGAGCAATAATGTTTATCTCTATTCAACGCCCCCGTTCCCGTCTCTCAATTACGTAACGCACCATATTCGAGCGCGAGCCAAGCTCCCATCAGAAAGCTACCGCTACGATTGTATCTCCACTATGTACTACCTCATCACCCCTAGCGGCGCCGTTCCATAACGGCAGCGTCTTAGGAAAATGTAGGAAGGTGTTCATGAACGCCCTGACGGCGTAGCGGGCTTTTGCACCGCCATGAATATCCCAAGAACGATGTCTGCTTTCTCATTTGAAGAACCTCGTCCTTTACCCAGGGATCCCTGAGTAACTTGTCTCTTGGGCGTTTGCGTTCCTTTTGACCGGCTCGTCTGGCGTAACATTTCAGATATTCCTTCTGAATGTCTTCCAGCTCCGAGTGGTTTTCAATGTCACGGTCAAACCGTTTGAGCCTCGTCGAATCATAGGGCCTGGCTGTAAAATCATTGATCAGAGCCTGTACGTCGTGTTCAAATCCGACTTGCAAAAATCTGAAGTCGAAATCTGCGGGATCTTCTCGTCCTTCTCCTATGTCCGAGTCTACCGACTCGGACCAGTCACTGATCGACTCGTCTTCTTTAAAGTAGTGGGCGTCGGCAAAGCTTTTGATATTTGGGATCCACTCCGGCTGGACGAAACGCATCTTCTCCCATGGAACGCCCCGAAACCATGGATGTGCCTTGATCTCGTTTGCATCATTGGGGAAAACGTAGTTCCGTGAGGTTTCCGGATGACCCAGAAGCTGTTGTCGGGCTCTTCTTTCGTCCTGATCACGGTACTTTGGCGATGAGAGACGATCTCTCTTGTCTTGAAGCAAGTTCCTGATCAAATGCTGGCACATCTTTGAGACTTGGACTCCATCAACGGGGAACACTAGGGTTGTTTGGTAATTCTGTGCTTAGCATTAGCATATGTCTTTTGTTTCTTCAGGTAAACCCACAACAATGTTTTGCTTGGTGTAGTGTCGGCCCTTGTCCGAGAGGAATGGCGTATACCCGTACAGACATTCGTACAAGATGATCCCGACACTCCACTAGTCGCATCTGCCGTCATATCTATCGCCCATCACTACCTCAGGAGCCATGTACTGGCTTGTTCCAACAACGGACCGAGCATGCGATCGGCTTGTTGCAGCGGTTCTCCATTCAAGCAGTGTGTCTATCATCGGAGGGTCGTTCTGAGGCAAACCTGAAACTACCGGTGGACTGTAAAGTGCGTTGGACTGAACGATGTTAAATGGAGGGGCATGCTTTGAGGATCCCGCTGGAGATGATGGCCGCTGCGGGTAGCCCCCACCGCGGGCCGCTTTGCGGTCTTCGCGATCTCCGTCAAGCCTGACACCCATAAGAGAAAGCAGCCACTGCCTATGCCATTTGTAATAGGAAGTATCGTGAGACCAGTGGTCGTCGAAGGCCAGCCCGAAGTCCGAGATCTTCAAGTGACCGTCAGCGCCGATGAGAAAGTTGTCTGGCTTGACGTCACGGTGTATGCAACCAAGCTTGTGTGCCTCTTCGACGCATAAAATCATCTCTGCGATATAGAAGCGAGTCCTTGACTCTGTTAGAATGTTCTCGCGGATGAGCAAGCCGAGAAAGTCACCCCCGGGCATGTAGTCCATCAGAAGGTAGAGGTTGGTAGGATCTTGGAAACTGGCTATCAGAGATACAATCCTAACAGAGTATGTTAGCAAGGTGAATTGATCACATACTAAGGCATCAAACGGGCTCTTTATGTACCATTGAGAGTTCTCGGAGGCAGCCAGGAAGTCCCGTTCTGCTCGCAAGTGCCCTTCTTGGCAGCTCCGAATCATGTCCGACTTTCGGATGACCTTCATGGCGTAAACGTGCCGGTGTGAACGGTCCCAAACGAGCTTTACAACACCGAAGCTCCCTTTTCCGAGTATTTGGAGCGTCTCCAGGTTTTCCAGGTCTGAGCCTCGAGCTGTCCCAAGGTCAGCAGTTGTAGACTACGCAACCCTGCAACTATAGGCTTTGTCGACTCTTTGCTTGCGAAGGTGATCAGTCTCTGTTTTGAGGTACCATTTCCAATACTCCTCCTTCTCCCATTGATCCAGGTGGTGAATGTCGTGTCGGAACCGGGCCATGCGCAGTTCGCGGGGTGTCAAATCATCCCTGAGTACCTCCTTGTAATACGTTTCAAGGTAAATTTTTGCTGCAGCGGCCTTTTCCACCGTCAGAACCCTCTGTTTGTCTGATATGTGGCCCCAAACAAGCTGCTCCTCGAGTTTCTTCTTGTCAGGAAGACGCTGGGGGCTTATGTCTTGCGAGATCACGGGGGAGGGCGGGCCGAGAGGATGGTTCATGACCGGCTGGATGACTGGATGCCGCAAGCCTCGAGGATGTACCAGTTTGGAAGCTGGCTTTGCCATACCTCTAAACCTGTGGATAATCTTTTGGGTCGTGGAACTGTCTCTATTGCTCCCCAAGGACTCTGGTTTTGCTGTCGAATTAGCTCGTGCCGGGCGGCATCTGCCGAGCACGCCCGTACCTTGTTGACAATGCTTCTTGTTCTTCACCAGCACGTTCGGTTTCGGAGCAGGAGAGCGAACATGAGGGCTCCAAAGACTGTGTAGAGCCTGACCATCGAATCCAGGGCTAAGGTCGGGTGAAAGTGTGTGGGTGGCTGTGATGCTTGGGGCGACAGGAGTTGGATTTGAACGTGAGATGTTGCCGCCGCGGGTAGCCTGATGCATGATGCTGATGAAAAGCTCGTGACGGCAGGGAAATAAATAATATTGCTGGTAATTCGATTTGCAAATAACGTGTAGTCCAAAAGAGGGACGGACTAGTCGTCCAGCTATGATGGTGTTCAGTCTGCTGGGATGTTTCGTGGAAGATGGGCACCTCTCCCCGGAACGCGAGAGGAGGAACAATGTGGTCGCTCAAGAGCCAGCGACCTTGAGAGTCAGTCTTCGGAAGGAAGTGCTTGTGAGCGGCAAATGATACCTTTTCAGAAAGGGGCAAGGCATTTAGGACCTACCGCGTGTGTAAGACCCATTGGCAGAACATTCAGGCAGGAAACATACGGACAAACAGCAGGAGCAATTGTCATAGAAGGGGTAAGAAGGGTAAGAAGTAAGGAGACGATGTTTTCGTTAAAGAAAACCGGAGCTACGTACAATCCGACCGGAAGAAACCATCCATGGTCCGGTGTGAAAAATTCCTACATCAACAGAAAAACTATTTCATGGTACGCCAACCAATGCAGTGTAAGTCCTCGCCTCGTCATCCCATCAAACAGACTCTGCTTCTCGCATCCAGTGGTTGCGGATCTTCGCAGATAGCCACAGGTCGGAGACTATCCATTGCGACACAGCGCAAAGCGCGATATGGCGATTCCTCTTTCGCCATCACGCATCATTACAAGGGAAAGTCGACGTCTGGGACGTCGGGACTGCGCCAGTCCAAGCCATATCTTTTATGGCAGACTCGCTGGGCGAGTGTGTAGAATACAGTAGGGAGCATCCTGAGTCGGCGTGTCGTCGCCGAAGGCGGTGGTGCGGTTCAGCAAATCGCCGTTTACTTGATCTCGAGCAGCTTGACGTCAAATGTCAGGGTGCTGTTGGCAGGGATGCCGGGAAGGCTCTTGGAGCCGTAGGCAAGGTGAGCGGGAATAGTGAGACGACGCTCGCCACCAATGGTCATGCCAAGGACACCGATGTCCCAGCCCTTGATGACCTGGCCCTTGCCGGCCTTGAAAGAGAAAGGCTTACCCTTCTTGTTGGCTAGGGTTGAATGTTAGCAGGAAGAACGGATGAAAACCCAGGTGCGGATCATGATGGCTTACCATCGAAAACTTTGCCGTCATCGAGCTTGCCGATGTAGCGGACACCGACGGTGTCGCCGTTCTTGACAGCGCGGCCAGTACCGACCTTGCGGTCGTCAATGGTGACGCCCTGGACGACTCTGACACCGGTGGCAGGCTTGCCAGCCTGCTTGGCCTTTTCGGCAGAGCCAGTAGGGCCCTGCTCGAGGTTCTTGGCGAACTGGACCTTCTTGTCGGACTTGGGAGTGGTCTTCTCCTCAGTAGCAACAGCCTCGCCCTTGTTGTTCTTGAGCTTCTTCTTGTCCTTCTTGGAGAGCTTGGAGTCGTCAGCATCGGCCTTGATGAGGTCGTCGAGGCTCTCGGCGGCACGCTTCTTGCCCTTCTTGCTGGTCTCAACCAGCTTGGGGGCCTCCTCCTCGTCGGTGTCGATCTCCATAACGCGGGGGTCGGCGGTGTCGTCGAGCTCGTCGCTGTCCTCGTCGGACATGCCGTCCATGCCGTACTCAAGCTCATCGGGAGACAGGTCGTACTCGTCATCCTCATCCTCGTCATCCTCGGAGCCCTCCTCCTCGTCATCGATAACGTAGTTACCGGTGAGGTGGACGGTGTGGGTGCCGGAGACGACGAAGAAAACCTTCTCGCCCTCCTGGACAGTGATGTCGAGGGGCTGCTGGTAGTTCTGTCGAGATGTTAGCGGGGACTCTCGAGGGCTCGGAACGCCTTGTGCAACTTACGCGCTCGGTGTCGAGGGTGCAGAGGACGAAGTTCTCAAGGTCAAGACCTTCGTCGTCCTCGTCTTCGCTGTCCTCCTCCTCTTCGTCGTCGTCGTCGGAGGCCTTGGCCTTGCCCTTCTTGCTGGCCTTACCATTGGGCTTGGCGCCGTCCGTGTCCTCATCAGACTCTTCGGCGGAGACAGCCTCGATCAGCTTCTTGAGAGACTCGGCCTGCTTCTGCTTCTTGGAAGGGTCGCTAGGGCCACCGTTGGACTCATCATCGTCGTCAGATGACTCGTCATCGCCGTTGGCGGCAAGGAGAGACTTGAGATAGTCCTCGTCGATCTCATCGTCCTCGTTCGCCTCGAGGTCGTCGCCGAAGCGCTGCTTGACCAGGCGCAGGGTAGAACGGGGGACGGCGGGGATGTTGCCATCGGCATCAGCCTCGGGGGGCTCGGTGGGATCGATGGCGGCCATGGTGATGCGGAACTAATGATGCAGGGTCAGTCAAGCATCCACGATTGCGAGTCGCGCGCCGGGCGCATGCTGCTGATCCGATCGCAGGCTGCACCCAAGACACACAGCAACGAAAATTTGCAGCACGAATTGCACATACAGTGGCAGGGAAGTCCGGGGAGGCGGGAATGAGGACTTCGCCGGGGGGGATCTCGAGCCCGTAGAGGGCGACAGGAAGCTGGGCCATTTTGCTGGATGTGAGGGGCTGTACGTGGAAAGAAGGGTAAAAGGTGGTGCTCTTGCACTTGATTATTGGCTTCAAGGGGGTCAAGATGATTAAAGACCTTCTGCTTGAAGTTTCGGTCTAGGTATGAGAGGAATTGAGAAAAGAGGAAGATGGGGTGGGATAGGGTGTAAGAGGAAGGTTATACAGAAAAGGCGAGGTCCTAGAGGAGCCTTTGCCTGAAATTTTTTTTCCCTCGACGGACGAACAGACGGCACTGAACTTTTTTTTTTTTTTTCCTGGGCTCGACCCCACCGCTAAATACGCTAGTGTTCCTTATCCTGTCTTATCGCTCTTTTTCGGCCATGGCAACCGCTGTGCAACGACAGGGAAGGTGGGTCTGGGGAAAGAGCTGCATTGGACCCTTGCCCGAAACCGCTGAAAAGTTGGATTCCAAGCCAGAAAAGCTACGCTTCTGTGGACGGTGAGAACGCCCCCGAGCCACCGAGAAGCATAAAGTCGTACACCGCTTTCTGCCTGGTGCGCCGTCTACCACCCACCCAACGGAGAACAGAATGTGCAGCTGCTGCCTGGGCCCACTGTCGCGATTGGTTTTCTTGAATCGCCTCTTTTTTCCTTGAGTGAACTTAACCGTGATAGTTACAGCCTTTTTGCACTTTCTCAACCGCCATGTCAAAGTTGGCACAACGAGTCGATTGATGACATGTACCTTGAAATACGACACCGCCACCTGCTCAGCTCCAAGTTTGAGTTCATCGTCTCTCTGACTCACTCATAAAATAAAGCCTTCCACTCTAGATCTCCTTTCTCTGCGTCCCCTTGCTCGGCTTCCCGAACCAAGCCTTGACAATCTGCCACAGAAACCCCATGAGAAACATTGTCTGCCCTTGCTCGTACAACTGCGGCCTATCCCCGACGTCGGTCATCTGACACCCAATCTCAGCAATCGCTGGGGGGAAGTGTTTCTTGCTGTTTCGCGCGTACGCCGCGACGAGGTCGTTGCCGTTCGTGATGCCGCCTATCGTCAAGTCAGACATGGTATATTCATCTTGACGTGTAGCTCTCGATGCGACGCTCAGCCTTGAGCGATCTGGGTAGGAAGAGGAAGGGTCAAACCAAGTCCACAGAGAAGAGGGGGGAGGGGGGGGTAAAAGAAGACACAAAACATACCGCAACTCCAAAAGTTCCCATCCTGGAACCATCGATACTTCTCCCCCACGAACTCGGCTCCGGGAAACCTCTTTCTCAACACGTCCTGCAAACCTCTCGGCCCACAAACCATGTTCCCCTCCAACACCCCCGCGGCGCCGCACAAAAAGACGCCCGTACAGATGCTCAACACATCCGTCGTTTCCCTCTGCTCAGCGTGATCCTTGAGAAACCCGAGCACGTCTTCGTTCCAGTGTGTACCCGGGTCCGGGCCGGGGACGAGAAGGATGTCCAGCTTGCCTGGCTGCACGTCCGGGTGCGAGATGCCGTGCGTGGCTAGAATCTTGGCGCCTGCCGTGAGTTGTAAGAGACCCAGAGAGTGCTGCTCTGTGGTCTCGCCGCTGGCTGTAGCCGGGGCGGTGATGTAGAAGAAACTCATGCTAGGCGCCAGCGCCGGGATATGCTTTGGCAACATGGGCAGCAAGCTGAGATACTCCCGGGACATCGTCGCCAAGACGTCGACGCAGGCCATGTCGAGGAGCTGGCACTCGGACGGGATGAAAACCCCGACCTTGACCGTCTTGTTATTCGGCATGTTTGTAATATAGTTTCCCTGGGAGTTACGTATGGGCCGAGACCTGCCGACTTGATCAATTATTTTGCTAAACGACCAAGTGAAGCCCAAAGTTGGCTCTGGTCCTTGGAGCCGAGAATCTGCTTTGAGATATTCTTGTTATACGAAGTTCCATATCCGAAGCAAAATCGAGGGAACATACCAGATACCGACCTACGTATATACATCAACATATCTCCTGCCGCCATCAAGTATCGCTCAAAGAAAACCAAGCCCAAGGCCGCCTTCCGCCCCACCACGGGCCCGGATTAGACAGGCGCCTCGAAAAAGTGACCGGAGTCTCGCCAAAGCTAGAGACACGGACCGCTGGTGGCTGATGCCGCAAGCTATGATTGGGTAGGGTCGACATAACTTCCGAGAGGTCTCGGGGTCTACCGGCTCTCACCCGCACCTCTTGTAAGTTGCTTGCATCCGGTCACCGATCCCTTTAGACAGCCTGCCGCCTATTGTTCTCCAGCACTCTTTTGTCCGCTGTGGTCACTGATAGGGGCATACTGTACGGATACGTACTTCAAGTCCTTGCCGCAACTGAATTGGCCGCAATGCCACATACTTCGACTATCTGTGATACAGGGATTCGACTGGACTGCTCCGTTCTCAAACGTCCTCTCCAACCTTGCGGCTAATATAAACATCACAGGAATTGGGATGGGAGCAGTTATAATGTAATTCACATCAATTGTATCGTCGTGGCAACGTTTTCCTATTGACCACCGTTCCGATCCACGTCTTAGCGTCAGGTGCCATGATCATGAATCGTTCTATGTACACACAAGATTAGATATTATAGGACTCGTCCATATTAACGGGCTCCGGGGGTCTGTTGTGTCGCCATCTCCGTCTTGCCGTTGGAGCCCACTCTCTGCTATTCCTGCTGGGCTCGTCCTGTCCCCAGCGGATGGCAGTCGTCTTTCATCCCCCACCTGGCGAACTTCTGCCACTGGTGGTCGAACCTCGTCATGGTGGCGTGGATATGTCCTACCCGTTCCTTCCTTCTCCGTCTTTCGTATAAGCGAATGCACTTGGACGGCTCTCTCGCTCGTCAAGTTCCTGCGTGTTGCTCCGAGAACTCCGGTTTGAGGCCCCATGAATCCCCAAAAATCTCTAGAATGCCGATACCATGCCATGCCATGCATATCAAGAATGCCCTCATCTATTTACACATGAGGCTCTTAGGAGCCTCAGCTTCTTCTTCAAACACATAATCGAGTTCAAGAAAAAAGAAGAAAAAAGACAAAAAACCGCCGCTTGGTGGGTCTTGCTGGAATTGGGCTGTGCGTCGAATCGAAACAAATAAAAGGGAGACGTCGCAGCTCGCGCAGTACGCGAGAAGGCGAGGTCCGCCGAAGAGTAGTAAAAAGATAAAATGGAAGTGAATAATTGTCGTTAGGCAAGATCAGCTGCTGTGAGCGATTTGGCTCTTTGCCGGGTAACCTTCTTGCTAACAGAGTAAACAAGGTCCAGTGTCCAGAAATGGCACAGTTGCGCTTGGGCGCAGGGGATGGCACCATAAAGGGGAGCAACCAGAGGGACCATAGCGTAGTCAATGAAGTTCTTCTTGACGGAACGGTATGAAAAGTTCATGCCGTCGGACAAGCCAGCCTCGGTCATTTCACGCTGGCGAGACTTAACGCAGATGCGGTGGAAGCTCTCGTACAAGAACAGGTAAAGAGCAATCTCCATGAAGCCGAATGTGCGCAGGATATTGCAGACGTCGAAGATCCAGCTCAGATGCGCCACCTCCTCATTGCCTTCGGTGACCCAGACGTACAAGGTCGAGGAGATGACGAAAATAGTCATCTGAAGAGGCAGGAAATGCGCCTCGAAAAGACGGTGGAACAGGGAGACAATGCGCTCCCAATTGGGTGACTGCAGGGTGTCGTGTGTAACATCGGAAAAGACGCCGCTTTCTCTGGGCTGCTCAGGATCCTGCTGGTCGAGAGGCTCAGGAACGTAAACATCCGAGGCATCACCCATGGAGTTGTGCAGAGGACGGAAAGCGCGAGAGGTGTGCTTCCTCTCCTGCCAGAGCTCCACGACCTTGCGAAGAGCATATCCAGAATCGAGAGCACCCCACATGTGTCTCATTGCCTGCTTGTAACGAGCCTGCATGTCAGAGTAGATACCGCGAAGACCCTTGGAGCCGTTGCCGCAGACATTGCTCTGGCTGACGGGGCTGACCACAGTCCTGACAGTCAGATTGCCGTTGAGCGCGAAGAAGCACTTCAGATACATGTGCAAATCTTCTCCGATGGCTTCGTTGTCACAATCCCAGCCACCGACGCGGTCGACTAGCTCAAGAGGAACCGAGTAAACAGACGTGGGAGGCGCAATGGTCGAGCCGGAGTACAGTCCAGACATACCACCGGCACCCCAGAGGATGTCGGCAACACGGACAATGGCAGGGACGCTGTGAGCGTTGCGGTCGAAGATGATGGGAGCTGCGTACAGGGTGGTGTTGGATGTTTCGGGGTAGGCCAAGTGCATGGTAGTGAGCAACGCGAAAAAGTTGGCAGAGAGATGGCTATCGGCTGTAGGGACCCCAGTTTCTGTCAGCAATTCATCCTATATCTCCAAATTTTGGAAACGCTGGCTGCGGCAGATTGCCAGTATCTGACATGCGCACGTACCGTCAAGACCCGTGATGATAACATCCTTGCGGGCAGCCATGGAGTATTTCGGGCTCAACTTGCGGGCCGCCCAGGCAACATTGCTTCCCTTGCCAGCGGATTCCCCAGGGATGTCGGACGGGTGAATTGTGTAATCGATGCTGCGGAACTTCTTGACAAACTCCTGAATGAGGGTCATGGCCTTGAGTTCAACGTTGGGCTCCCGCTGTTCCATTCCCAGGTACACCTAATTAGACAGATGGGTTAGCGATTGTTTTCATGAGGGGACAGTGCACGGAAATGCGCCGTCCAACGCCTTGGCGATCATTGCCTTGACCGGCCAAGACCAACAATTTTCGGGCAGCGAACAGACAAAACAGGAAATACTCACGTCGTAGCAGCTACGGGCCTGGGGGTGCGAAGCCAGAACCTCGAGAGTTTCCTTCAGCGTATCCATCTCCTCCTTGTAGTTGGGAATGATGATGGCGTGGATGACGCGATCGGCTTCGCCGTCGGCGTCGGCGTAGAGTTCGGGCTCAGTGTCGCCGGCCTCGCTGCTGGACGCAGAGCAGCCGTGAGAGGAGGTCAGCGTCTCCGAGCTCGACAGGGAGGTCGAGGAGCCGCGACGGCGGTGAGAGAACTTGTAATCCCGCAGAGTCTTGTTGCGAGCGATCTTCTTTAACTGGCGGGTCATGTCGAAGACAGCGTAGCAGCATCGAAGAGGGAAGGCGAAGACAAGGACGTGGATGAACAAGCAGTAGTAAGCGTAGATGACGGTCCAGTAGCCGGCGCCCTTGGCCGGAGTCGAGACGCTAAGGCTATCTTGATGCAGATGGTTGTAGCCGTGTGCCGCGGCAGCTGATTCTTTTGAGATGACCCAGTAACTTAGGGCCAGCAGGCCCAGCATGGCTAAGCCGCCGACGCGGCGCGAGGCCCAGGCGAAGATGGACATGACGATGACCGACGGCGATGTTTGTTCAGGCGCGGTGCCGGCGAAAGATTGATCGACAGGAGAGCGACAGTGACGGTTAGCTAACGACGGAAGGCGACGTTGTCTGTCTGTCAAGGCGAGCAGCCGGGAAGGATAGGCTTGAGGCAGGAAACCCAAAGTAGATGGTGGTCGAAGGAGAGCCAGACCAACAAGCTGCAGGCAGCGGGATGGGAGAGGGAGGGAGGAATGGAGAAGGGAAGTAGGGCGGAGGCGCAAGAAGCAGGAAACCTCGGAGCCGAAATTGCGAATGGCTACCTGTCGAACTAGAGCCCTACCCAAACAAGTCGATGGTGGTGGTCTCTTGCTCTCTCACTCTGTCTTGGGTGTTGGGTGTGTAGAAGGGGGAAGGGGGAAGGGGGGGGAGATGGTGACAGACAGGAGGCGGAGGGGGAGAAGAGCGAAAGAGGGAAAAAGGGAGGGACCGAGAAAAAATTAGAGTGCGTCTTGTCGGATGATATTCACGAGAAGGATGGCGACTAATGGATACGTACGGGCCGGAACAGAGGAAGAGAGAGGAGAGAGAGGAAGGAAGTGCAAGGTTGAGAGAGTGTGGATGATTTCTTGGATATGGTGGACACGGTACGGATACAGAGTAAGGTACAATCCCGTCAGGCAAGATGGTGCGGTAAGGTACCCCGTCCGCTAAGGTGCGACGGGGAGGTACCGTTCTCTGCTCTGGAGTCGGTAGGCCAACGGGGAAAGGGGGCGGCGCGCTTCCCTCCTCTCCCCTCTCTCCCTTTCTCGCTCACTCTTACTCACTCTCACAGGCTCATCGATCTTTCTAGGGTCTCCCACACGGAACATACTATGTACTACTAGCAGAGTCTTTTCCTTGGTGGTGTGCTGTCTGTCGTGCTGGGTCGGACGGAACTGGTTCCAGAGGGCTACCTAGAGGAGGGGGACGTGAAGAGGGAAAGGGTCTCAGGTACCTCGGTCAACACAGCGCCAACGCCAAAAACTGAGCGTGGAAAGGCCGATGCGCAAAGTACCTTGCTCCCTTTGTGCGGTATCCTCCCATCCCATGTGCTGCTCCGGAGTATCGTCAGCAACATCTTCTTTGACTCGGTAACGCCTATCAGGGGGAGACGCTGGACTGAAATCAGCGTAGGCGAGCTTGGTATGTACTAACAAGCCCGCCTGCAATGCAAGACGAGAGAAGACGTGCAGACAAGAAGCAAGAGCATAACATCGGGACTAGGGCCTTGGAGTGGGCGATGGGGTTGGTGTTGGTGAGAGGCCCTCTTGGATTGGCGAGACGACAAACCAACTAGGGGCTCCCTGATACCGGTGATAGCAGCCGTAACAGACCGATGGGATGTTACTGAAGTACCTTGAACCCGGAGAATTGAAGCTTCAAGCTGCGGCGCCGGGCAAAGACGATGAATGAATGTGAGGGTTGAGATGGTTCCAGTGTGGCATTGGCCGGTCTAGGCTGACCCTGGTTGGAGAACTGAATTAGGATTGGCTCGAGACAGCACATAGTCCCGCTCTCTCTCTCAATGGTCCATCTGTCCGGGAAGGGACTGGGGTGTGTGCCGTGCTGGGGCTAGTACTTGTACGTCTGGCCCGCTCGCGTCCGGTGGGCTGCCTCTGCCTCTCACCATTGTCTGTGTCTCTCGCGTAGTCGGTCTTCTTACCCATCCTATGCCTCGATAGGTGCTTTAGCGCGAAAGAGACGTGGGTTCGCAGGAAGGAGAAAAAGGAAGGGAAACCCCCCCCGCCCAGAAAAAAACAAGAGACTGGGTGTCACAGGCAGCCAAGCGGAGACTGGCTGCGTTGGGAATTTTCTGCGCTTGCACCGAATCGCCCCGCGGGAAATGAGACGTGGGAAATTACCGAGTAAGCGGTCAGTGTGCAGCACTGTGTGCACCTACATTGGGCCCCGCTCTTCATCACCTAGGTGCTGAGAGGGAGAACAAAGCCTGGCCGCATGCTACTTGTGTATGGTTGTCTTCTTCTATTGTCTGTTGCATGGTACCGTACCTATGGCTCCTCTTCTTCCTGATGGGTGACCGGTCAATTGAAAACAATGACACAAACAAGGCAGGCATGGCGATGGCGGCCCGTCTCTTCGCCTTTGCCGATTGCTGCTCCGATTGTCGATTGAAGCCGGGACGTAGTTTCTGCCAATGCCTGCCCTATACTACCCTGACCCGGGCTGGACCTTGGCTAGGGGTTACGTCTTTTTGTGCGTTCGGTTCCATGCGACGGAGATTTGTTTTGTCTACTACGTAGTGCGCTCCGGACAAGGTAGGCATCGACATCAAGCCAGCGGCAACGCATGAGGTCTTTCCTTGGAGTCTGTATATTGCTGATACCCACGTTAACGAGTTTACAAAGGTGATGCATGTGAAGGCGTCATCGGCAGGCAATGGACAGTAAGTAAACCTATCATGTGTGTACAAATGTCGTTGGTTGGGCACAGCACCGCCGCACTTGGCGGATGGGTGGGTGGCTTGGCCGGCGTTGCTTGCGAGACTCGACTACTAGCGGTCAACATGATACCCAGGCCTTTCTTCCTTTTCCTCGTTTTTACTGGGCCCTACAATAGCCTCCATTGTGCCCGGCCTCATTGCGCAGCGTCAGCTCTTACTATACTGTTTGTTTGATAGACTCTCTCGGGCTATAGGCCTCATATGAGTCCGCATTCATTCAGTCAGTCAGTCGAGCAAAACATACAGTTAGTTACGCATGTACCTGCGTGGGCACTGCATAGGTAGGTAGGTACCTAGACCTTTCGCCCGCAGCTGGGACGTAATTTGACAGAGGCCCCGCACAGTGCGCGTATCTGCTGCTGCAATGCCCAGTCTAGAGGTCAAGGCCCGCCTGCTGCCTGTGCTTCACTCACGCTAGGGTCGCCAAGATGCCTCACGGTCGCTCCTTCCGCTCTGACGAACTGGCTTGCCCAAACGGGATATCTAAGAAAAATATTCGTACCTAACGAATTTGCTGCGCTCGATCTGGGGCGGCGCCACAGTGCCCCAGTGCCCCAGTCAAGGGTGCAGTGCTTACAGCTTGCTTGGTGACCTCCTGTACGGATATCTACCTAAACCACCTACCTACGAATACTATTCCTCTTACCGCTCTCCACCTATCGCCAACCAAGTAGGTATGTACAGCGTCTGAACGGTGCTGGGAGCATACCTACGTATACGATATACGTACCCATCCACTCAGGTGACAAAAAAGAGAGCCGGTCTTGAAGAACCTTATCTTATAGCCCTATTGCTTTTAAATACCGGAAAATAGGTCAGATAAATACTTTTTTACACTTTATAACCTTTCTTTTCTTAGGAGGACTCATAAATGTATTTTTTAACGAGTTAAAAGCTGTATTGCTGATTACAGGAGCTGTAGTACTGGTGGTGAGGGTGGCTGTTGTGTAGGGGGAAACCGGCTCTCTTTTTTGTCACCCGAGTGCCATCCCATCCCATCTCATCAACAGGGGCTGAACCGAACTTGAAAACTCTCGCTCCATCCAAGGCCTGCGGAAGGAGGCGGGTCGGGCGTCGTTTGTCAGCCCTCTTTGGGGATCAGGAACTGGCCGTGAATAACGAACCGGACCTGTGGAGGTTCGAGAAAAGGAGGATTTGATACCTGCCTACGCTTGCCAGGTTCTGATGCTTAGCCACCACTACGAATACATACCTAAGTATCCGTAATAGTGCACTAGAATGAAGATGCTAACTTAGGCAAACGGGCGGTATCGTAAGCCAGTCGAAGCTTAACCGCGCCTCACCAGTCGAGCCCTTTTCGTCCGAGGTCCAGCGTTTCCGGTCCCGATTCCCAAAGGAAGCTTCTCTCGCCTTGCCTTCCTCGGCATTTAACATATCGGCAGAGGCGACTGCCATATGTGACAGGAACGCAGGCATGTGCGTGACTAGAGCTGAAAGCCTCAGGGTTGGAGAAAAAGCGCATATCAGACTCAGTAACCCGAAGGCAGGTACGGTTCTCTGGGCTTTTACCAGGGCGGCTTCTGTCCCAACAATACCTGGAAATACCGGCCAAGGTGTTCAAGTCCTTTAACTACCTACTTACCGACTTACCTCCCTTTTTGGTTCCTTCGTACCTCATCCTTGCTTTTCTCCGAATTCGTTTCCGGCCGCTGACCGACTGACCGGTCTGGTGGACTGTCTAACAAACAACGCCGACTTGTGGGAGCATACCGGCGTGCTTGTATTTGTGTCACCAAAGCCTTGGCGGGCGTGGGCATAGAAGATGAGGGGAAGCCGCAGCTGCCCGTTGAAACAGCCCCGGCACACTCACGTTCGAATACATTGATGTTCGACAAGGCCTTTTCGCTACTTCTGCTATCTGGATGCATCAGCATACCTTGTATCAATCATTCGATTACAGAAAAAGACGCCAGTGTATCAGTCTCTCGATTAAGCATCCGCACTTTATTCTTAGAAGCGTTTGCTGTCTGTACCCGCGCTTGCGAGATTGACGACTAGCAGGATTGTCATGCGCCGGCCATGGACCATGATCACCACCTTGTGTGCCACGCAACGACGAAACAAAGGCGGTATCCTAGGCTACCCGTCGTGGCTGGGCCTCCGCCCTGCGTACGTGCGTGCGTGTGTGCGACGACGAACCGAAACACGCGACGGGCAGATGTTCTCGCCCGTATCACGCTATCGTTGAGGTCTGGGAGATTCACTACTACAGAGCTGCAGTGCGCCTTACCTCTCTACCTAGTGTAGTCACCCGGCCATATGCAGTGCCGAGCGATACGTACATACGCCAAGAGGAGCAATCGTAGCTCGGTTTAGGAGATGGAGAAAGCGTCTACTTGCCTGCTCACATCTTTTACACTCTCTATTGGTCCGTTCATGCACTCGCTTCTGCAGCACTTGTACAGGTTGTCGCATCTTCACCTTCGGCCGTTGGGAGGCGTGCTTCAGAGGTGGGGGGGGGCTTGGAGCGTGACAGACTGTGGCTGCCGTCGTCATCCACCCCAG